TATTTTCCAAAGTGCTTAGATTATAGGCATGTGCCACCATGCCAAGCTTCATCATTTTTTTGTTTTTTGGGTACTGGGGATGGAACTTGGGATCTTGTACTTTCGAGGCAGGCGGCAGAACCACTGAGCTAAATCCCTGGCCCTTCATCATGATTTTTGAAGTCCTTGTCTATTTTCTGGCCCAAAATGATCTTCCATTTTCATTTTATACTTTCTCAGCCCCAGCTCTGAAATTACCCGTTTCTTACAGTTGTCTTTTTCCTTTTAATGGAACTTTTTCCCACTGAATATATTTTTGGTCATCTCTTTATCTTCATACATGAACAGTTGCATGTGTTATACAGTATAGATGTACTATAATCTATTTAATGTGTACTTTTTGGTTATATTTTTACCTTTTCTTTTAGTATTTATTTATTTTTTTCTTTGAGACAGGGACTTGCTATGTCCCCAGGCCAGGATTGAACTTGCTTTCTATCCTAGGCTGACTTTGAACTTGTAACCTTCATTGTTGATGGAAATGTAAACAAGTACAATCCCTATGGAAATCAGTGTGGAGATGTCTCAAAAAACTAAAAATATAAATTTCATTTGACCCAGGTGTCCCCCTTGTAGAGGTTGTCCCAAAAGAGTAAAAGTCATCATATTACAGAGATACATGCACATCCATGTTTTATAACAGCTAGATCTTGGAAACAGCATATTTGTCCATCAACATGTGAATGGACAAAAAAGGTGGTATTTATACAAAATAGAATACTACTTTGTCATAAAGAAAGATAAACTTGAGGTATTCGTAGGTAAATGGATGCAACTTGAGAACATAATGTTTAAAAAGTCAGATACATAAGCTTAAATATTACATGGTTTCTCTTATCTGAGAAACTCAAAATATGAGAAAGTGAGCAAAATCGAAGGTAAATAGGAAGTAGGGTGTTCAAATAATTCCCCAAATTATCTATTCTGCTGTTTCAAAAATATTTTAATATATATATGCTAATTTGTTTCATTTATACTTCTAGATTATCTAGTTCATTGAAGAGAAAGTTTTGTGCTATTATCTGTTAGTTCTTTGTAAGAGTCATTTTTGTCTATGACTTGTACTCTGAGTAACATTTTGGGCATTCTTCTAAGAGTATGATACAGTGTATTAACTATTATTATTTTCTATTTTGTTTTGAAAGTTTGGTTTATTTTTTCATAGAGTGCATTTCAAAATTTGCTTTATTAACATCTATTTATATTACATTCACAAGCACAAATAGTATTCACTACATTGATCAGTAGATCTCTTTATTCTGGTTTGTTTTGTGTGCTAAAGATTTAACCCATGGCCTTGAACATGCTATCCAAGCCTTCTACTACTGAGATAAATGGTATATTAGTTGAATGGATGAAAGGACAGATGAATTAATACATAAGCAAATTAACTTCAACTATATTTATTGGGTACTAGGTAATATGAATTTATGGTACTTCCAAGACCCATAGTGGATGCCTAAAGCTACAGATTGTACAGATTGAAACCTACACATACTCCATTTTTTCCTATATGTTCATATGTATGATAAAGTTTAGATTATACAATAAGAGATTAATAGCCACAAATAACAAAATAAACAATCCTGATAACATATTATAATAAGTTATGTGAATGTGGTTGGTCACTGTTGCTCACACATCTTTCTTTTTGTTGTCCATAAGTGCATGAAACGCAGGTAAACAGGTGCTACTGTATTACCAAGGGTTCTGTTTTACGGTAATTTTTTCCTTTTTCTTTTCTTGAGACAGGGCCTCACTTTGTAGTTCAGGTTGGCCTTGAACTCACCGGCCTGCATCACCACACTAGGCAATGGTAATTTCTTTTTGTTTTGTTTTTTAGACAAGGTCTTGATAGGTAGTTCAGGCTGGCCTTGATCTTATGCCTCTCCTGTCTCAGCCTCCTGAGTGCTGGGATTACAGGCATACAGGCATGTGCCACCATGCCTGGCCAATGGAAATTTCTATAAGAGAGAAGCTTGGTCTTCTAAGTGTTGGATTGGGAATTTTTATGTAAATTTTCTGAAATAAAGGCTAGCAGAAACGAAAAAAAATAAAGAAAAAGTAAATAAAAAAAGAGAGAAGCTTGGGGGAAGAACTCAGGTTGGAAGGGTATGTGGAGGAGGGTCTGTGTGGGGAAGGGCATTTGTTCAACTCTGTAATCTCTTAGCAGTTTAAATCAGACTGAGAATGCCAAAAAAGCTGGGAAGGGCACTCACAAGATGACTGGTGAAACTAATTCCTCTCAGGCTACAGCTCAAGGCTGCCACTGCAAACACCTATGACCAAACAGTAATTCATTAATAAAATACTCATTTCAAAAGCTCTGTAGGCAGAGGCCTTTAATTCTCTGGTGGAACAAAGTATGTGGTGAAAGATTGGAATCGAGGTCAGGATTTAATAAAAAAAAGTATGATTTTAGTTGACTCATCACTTTTTTTTTTTTTTTTTTGAGACAGGGTCTCACTTTGTAGTTCAGACTGGCCCTGAACTCACTATGTAGTCCAGGCTGGCCTCGAACTAGTGGTGATCCTTCTGCTTCAGCCTCCTAAGTGCTGGGATCACAGGCCTGCGCTATCACGCCTGGCTGACTCATCACGTTTGAAAAAGAGGCTGGGAATTTAGCTCAGGCTGCTCCTACCTTGCAAGTGCAAGGTCCTGAGTTCGATGCCCGGTACTGGGGAAAAAACAAAAATAAAAAACCAAAAAAATTTGAAAAAGAGAATGTTCTAAATACAATGAACCTTCCTAGATTCTGGTGGACTGTGTAGAAACTCACAAACTGGCCCAATTGTGATAGACTTCTCTGTTTAAGTTTAGAAATGCAGGGCTGGGGAATGTATGTACTCAGTTGTAGAGTGCTTGCCTAGCATGCAGGATACCCCTGGGTTTGATCCCCAATATCAAAAATAAATGTTTTAGAAATGCATACTGTAATTGATGGGAATTGCTGGAGGATTTTTGGCACAAGAGTGACAGTGGTAGTATTTTAGGCAGATCACAGAGTCTAGAAAGAAAAAATAAAGCAGGGTAGGGAATATAATTGGGTAAAGATACTTTCCTTAAGGCAAACTCAACATTTTTTTGTACAATTCTCATAGCCACCACAAAACCTTTCTTACTTTCCAACACAATTTCTGGATAACTGATAAACTGAAAATTCCTCAGAATCTGAATATTTCACGCATTCTTTAATAATGCCTTTTCCTGTTTAAACGTGCCATCTTACCAAAGCCCAGAAAATGAGAAGCAAGTATCTCTCTAAAGGTTAAAGAACCTGTTCAGCTGCACTAAGAGCCCTTCTCAGTATACTTCCATTAGGGTCTTTACATTTTAGATACACTTGTTCAACCCTATGTTCTTTTCTTCCTTCCCTTCCATCTCAACTAGACATACTTGTTCAGCACTCCTTTCCTTTGCCTCCCTCCCTTCCTTCTTTCCCTCCCTTCCTCCCTCTCACCCACCCTCCCTTTCCACTGCTGGAGATTGAATCCAGCCAGCACTGAGATACATTCCCAGCCTGTTTTTTTATATGCGGCACAGGAAATTGAACCCAGGGCCTTCTCACTAAGCTATGTCAGGTCCTTTGGTTAACAATAACCTTTGGTTATTTTTTGAGACAGTGTCTCTCTGAACTACCCAGGCTGGGTTTAAACTTGCTGTCCTTCTGCCACAGACTCCCCTGGGATTAGTTTGTTTTGTGTGTGTGTGAGCGTGCATGTGTGAGCCCCCACGTGCCGCCACCACCACCAGCTGCGTTCACTTTTCAGTAAGAACCATTATGTACTGAGTGCTTTGGTTTGGCAGACATTTTGCTAAATGCACAGAACGCTCAGAAGCTTCTAGAATTGTATTATGTGGCGATGGTGGCGATGGAGTCAGAAACAGGGCTTGCAATTCACGTCAGAGTGGAAATTTTTGTTGCTCTTTGGGCCTTCAGTGCATGTTGTGAAACCGGGAACAACATTCTTATAATAAGGAAACTAACTTCATTGAGAATTAACAGTAGTGCCTCCAAGTGGTGCCTTGGTTTACCAATTCAATTCTTTTCACGATTCTGGTCGCAAACCGAACTGCACGAGAACCAGATCGAATTTCTCCATAAGGTCAACATTGAAGCAAACCATTGAATCTGATTTGATCCGGTTCTCGTCCGATTCGATTTGCGACCAAAAAGTTCCTGAACCAAGGCCCCTCGGTATGAAGTCCTGGCCAACTCCCACCCTTTAACACCTGGGGCCTAACAGAAGAATGCAGATCCTTAGCCGCTAGTAAATCTGAGGAGTCACAAGGTCAAAGGGAGAGGCCCATAAATCTGCACTTTAATAATGCTTATTCTCGGCCATTGTTATGTACTCTTCAAACTTGAAAACCGTCCCTTCTACTTTTTCTCAGTAAACCTTTAACCAAATAGAGGTACTACTGTTACCCCTATTTTACACAAAAGGAAATTGAGGCATGGAAAGGTAAATTAACTTTCTAAGGTCACGAGGACCAAGGTCGGACCAACCACTAGACGTGCTTGAGATGCAGCCCTTAAATCTTAACCCTAAGACAGTCCCTTACCTCCTTTTGGTAAGTGATTTAATATTTCAACAATCAATAGGGGCCGGGGATTTAGCTCAGTGGTTTCGCCGCCTGCCGCGCAAGCACAAGGACCCGAGTTCGATCCCCGGTACCAAAAAAAAAAAGAAAACAATCAATGGGCTTCGGGTCCAGTAAAAACTTATCTGAAAGCTTACTAAAGTCCGTCTGGTAAATCTGTGTCAAGTCAACATTTTGAATTTCAAGACCCTTGCCTTAGGCGAAATACCCCCACCGGAGGTGACTGGTGGGCGGGGCGGGGCGGGGCGGGGCGGGGGGGGGGGGGGGGGGGGGGGGGGGGGGGGGGGGGAGAGGGAGGCGATCGAGGACTGCGACGAGCCGCTGCCTGTTGGATTGGCTCGATCCTCTCCCGCCAGGCCTGTCCCACTCCCGCGCGCTCCTGGGCCCGCCCCCGCCGCCATCTTGGTCCAGGAGGGAGCGGGGAGCAAGCGCGAGTAAACAGCCTGGGCGGCGATTGTCGACCTCCGGTAGCATCTGGGTGCTGCGGGGCTGCGGCGGAGGGGACCATCTGGATCTTCTCACGTTGGGGTAAATATCTGGCGCTAGGCGGTCGGCTTTAAGAACCTTCATCCTGGCGCCACCTCCGCCCCCTCGCGGCTCGGCGCCACGCTTCCCGGTCTTCTCCCGCCCCCTGCGCCTCTCCTCCCTGGGTTGAAAGCTGCCCGGGAAAGTGGTGGCGGGAGCGCCCTTAGGCCCGAGCAGCGCGCGAGCCCGGGCGCCGGTTGCTGCGCGCGCGAGAAGGTCCGGGCTTGGGTCTGCGCTGGAGGCCCACGGCGTGGTTGGAGCCTGGTCGGGTGTGCAGGTGTGCGGGCTGGCCTGACGCCTCGCCGCCGCGGCGGGGTTGCCATCGGTCACTGCGTTTTCTTCTCTTCCGGTCCGGGCCTCAGGGTGGCCGACATGTCGGCTCCAGGTGAGAATCCCCTCCTGCCACTGTTGGAGACTTTGGAAGACTCGTCCGCCTCCCCTGGAGAGCAGACCGACGCTTACTTATCCCTGACCAGGTGAGGGCCACTGGCGGAGGGAGGCGCCGGCGCTGTAGGGGCCAAAGAAGATGGTTGTGTGGGAGCGCGGAAGCAGTTCCCATTTGTCTGCACGGGCAGATGTGAGGACGCCGGGGTCGCGGACCAGTTGGGGTGCAAGGAGCACATATATACGCTGTGTGAAGTTCCTGGTTACAGCACCTGAAGTATTTTATTTGGATAAAGGAGCCTGCACGTGTGTGTTGAAAGCCAGGGATTAAATTTAAAAAGTTTCAGCTGGAAGTGGTTGGAGGCGTGGTTTTCAGTACTCTCTCTCCCCATATATTGGGGAAATGGCAACCCAGAATTTTTGTAATCGCAAAATAAGTTTTCTACATTTTTGTCAAGGGTCTTACAAGATTAGCAAATTTGTAGGTGGGGATAAGGATCCCCTTTCAGTTTTCACCTATTGAAAGTGACAAAATGTAAATTTGCTGTGGGGGCAAAAAGTCATTTTAATGTGTGGTACCTACCACAGACACACACACACACACACACACACACACACACATATACATACATACATATATCGATTGCATCATATAGTCTTTGTATTCTTAAGTATTTTAAGCACTGGGTCATTTTCGAAAGTTTGAAAGTCATGTTTAAAAAAATGTAATGCAGGTATTTTAGGAAGTTGAGTCCACTATTTTGTTTTTGTCTTAAGTTTATGTTCTATTACTTTTTAAGTCGTATGACTGGAGAAGAAGGAAAAGAAGTCATTGTAGAAATTGAGAAAAATCTTCCTCAGCTGTACAAAGTTTTAAAGGTCTGTATTAAATAGTTTTTCACTTTGGGCATTAAAACCACCTAACTGACCCCAATATAAGCAATCTAAAATAATATTCACTGGATACTTCATATAGATTACTTAAAAGTTTTTCAAATACTCTGTTATCTTTCCTACTTTTTCACTTAGTTTTCCAAATCTCTGAGTTTACACTTTTTTTTTTTTTGCAGTGAAGATGAAATCCAGGGTCTTAAACGTTACTGGGAATGTTTACTGCCACTTACTGCCACTAAGGCACACTCCTGATCCCTGAGTTTACTATTTAATTCCCATTTTGCAGATGAAGAAATTGGTTTAATTTGCCTTAAGTTGCCTAGGACTCTTTGAATCCAAAGCCTATGCTTTTATTTTTAAAGCAGTGATCAAAGATTAATCTATTTTGTTACCTTTTGGAAATGTATAATACTTCTAAGTTAATGATTCTAAACTTGTTAACTGTCCTTGGTCTGTAGAAAGCATTCATATTTTTTATTTTCACTCTTTTTTCCACTTATGCCTGGTTAGAAAACCATTGCAGTTATCTTTATTTTTTATGGTGAGGTGGTATAGTTTAAAATCAGACCAGTCTTCTCTCTTGACTACTTGGCTTCATGATCTTACTTGACACCTAACATTTTTATTTTGTTCTGAGACAGGGTCATCTATGTAAGTCCAGGCCATCTTTGAACTTGGTAGTCAGTCCTCCTGCTCCAGCCTCTCCGCTGGAATTATAGGTGTGTGCCACCAGACGCGGCACACCTAACTTTGCAATAGTCTTGTTTTAGTTTTTGTGCCCCCCCCCCCCCAACTCAGGATCTTGAGCTTTGAGTCAGGGATGGCACCACTGAGCTAAATCCCCAGCTCCAATAGTCTTGTTTTTTAGAATGAAAAGGTTGAACTAAGTCTCTTGCAATTTTATTTTTAAGCCCCTATTTTTGTGCTTTGAGGTAAATATTCTTTGAAACATTCTTGTTGGGGCTTGGGGGTGTTGCTCAGCCGTAAAGCACTTGCCTAGTGTGTACAAGGCCCTAGGTTGTACAATGCCAAATAAATAAAATTATTGTATATTTTAGCATGCTTTCTGGCTAAACTTTAAAGCATTTGAGGTGCTGACTTAAGTATTGCTAAATAATTCAGCAGTTTTTCACATAAACAGGTTATTGTGTAATATTTAATAGTATTACATAATATTAATGTCATTATCTTGCTTTCCTTCATTATTATATTCTACATTCCAGCAGTATATTTGATGTGAAGACATGTACCTTCATGTACAGTACTTAATATTTGAGAGCATATGGGATCAGAAACCCTACTGTATGAATTTTAAGTCAAGTTGCACTGTTTCAAAATAGGTTTGTTTATAAAATTCCTGATGAATTATCTGGAAGCACGTGGGAGGTTAGTAATACAACAGTCAGTAAGTGCTTTACATGAGAATCAAAAGGAAAATTGAATTCCTTCAGAATAGAAACCACATTGAGAAAAAAAGAAACCACATTAAGTAAAATAGACTATTTGAATGTACGTTACTATTTAGAATTCTGCTGGAATTGTCGACAGATTTTTACCATTTTTTTTTAAATTATTTTTTTGTGGCATTGGGGACTGAACCCAGGGCTTCAGGGAGGTAAGTGCTCTATCGCTGCGCTACATCCGCAGCCCACCTATAACATTCTTGAAGACAAGACTGACTACTGTTCAGTATTATAACTAGTAGAATACTTGCTATGTCTAGGCTGAGGGTTTGATGTTCAGTACTATAAGGAAACTGACACTGTTGATGTTTGCAAGGAAACCTGTTTGATAAAAGGTGATCACAGCCTGTATCACAGCTCTCTGGAAGACTGAGGCAGGCAGATCACAAATTCAAGCCCAGACTTGACAATTTAGCAAAACCCCATCTTGAAAAAGGTCTGGGAATAAAGCTTAGTGTGAAGGCACTGGGTTCACTCCCAGTACTGAAAGAAAAAAAAAAAAAATCAGCCGTGTGCTAGCTATTGTCCAAGAGACAGAGTATTAGCTCTCAGAGTCTTAGCCTTACTCAGTTATCTGCTGTAATCCCTCATACTCCAGGTTTGGTCTTTTGTTTTTCCTTAATTCCTGAATAGGTACCCTGAGCTGGGTGTGGTGGTTCATGTCTGTAATCCCAGAATTTGTCATCTCATCCCTTGGGAAGCTGAGGCAGACAGGAGGAACATAGATTTAAGTCCAGCCTGTCAATTTAGCAAGATACCATCTGGAAATGTTTTTTAAAAGGACTCAGGATGCATTGCAGTGGGAAGGTCCAGGATTCACTCCTCTTTATCTGTAATAAAAATGCTCTTTCAGTTGATCTTTGCCTAGTTTCCTCGTTTCTTTGCCAAGCTATGTAGTTTGTTTCCTAATTTTTTTCACTCTTACTCAAAGGTTTGTTGGTTGGTTTTATTAAAATGTAATGAACTTGGCCGAGGATTTGGCTCAGTGGTTCCACAGCTTGCCTTGCAAGCGCAAGGTCCCAAGTTCGATCCCCAGTACCCCCACCCCCAAAATGTAATGAACTGATTATTTTATAATGGTCTTTTCTAAATTGTTCTGCAGTTGTACTTGTTTTTAATAAATGTGATTTGGTTTTTGTAGATTCACATTTCCAGTCAAAACTCAGAGCTGAGTAGTGCTGCTCTTCAGGCCTTGGGCTTTTGCTTGTATAATCCCAAAATTACTTCAGGATTATCAGGTAGATAAATTTATTTATGACCATTAATGTTAAGTTTAAACTATAGTTGTGTTAGAAGTACTGTTAATCGCTGGATAAGTTTCATAATTTATAGTTTAGAATTTCTCTTGAGAAAGAATGTTAAGATTATGTTTAGATTATCATTCCATAGACATAGTTTAAAGATTGGTACTATAAAATGTGTAGAAAATATTTAAATATGATTATAGGCTGGGATTATAGCTTAGTAATAGTTTATGAAGCCCTTGGTCCAGTGCTCAACCCAGGTACATGTGATTGCTATAAAAATGGAATGTTTTGAAAGAAAGATTGTCTTAATCTGGAAGGTAATAAATTATCTGATTATTGAGGCATATGCCTAATAAGCATGATGAATTCGAAAGTTCTTTTACAGTGGTGGTAAATGTGGCATAATTTGGAACTGAAAGTGGGATTGAAAGTACAGAACCTAATCTATGAACGTGAAGTATCAGGTTGAATACTGTCATGTAGTGAGTAGTTTGCCACTGTAAAGGAAATCTAGGAGGTCATCTTTAGAGGAAATCAAGAGTAGATAATAAAGATATCATAAAGTTGTTGCCATCTTTTTTCCCCCTGAGTGAATGGTTGCTGCTTGTTCTTTTTTATGTGTAGAAGTGAGCACAAACTAAAGTAGTTCATTGTGGAGCTGAGTTGTGGCCCCCCCACACCCCAGTACCGGGAATCAAACTCAGGACCTTGCTCTTATGAGGCAGGCTCAACATCATTGAGCTAAATCCCCCGGGCCCTGGGATTTATTTGTTTGTTTGTTTGTTTGTTTGTTTGTTTATTTCCTTGAGACAGGATCTCACTATGCTGTTCAGGCTGGCCTTGAACTTACTTTGTAGCCCTGGCTGGCTTTGAACTCACACATTCCTTCTGTCACAACCTACTAAGTGCTGGGATTATTGGCATGTGCCACTGCAGTTTTGAGCTTTAAACATTGCCAAAAATGGTCTTACTGTTCAAGTTACACTTAGAATTATTTCAGTTGTACAGCATGTCTACTTGGAGTCTATAGCTATATTTGTTTTCTGTGAAGGCCCTTTCCCCTCTGCTCTGGATTTTGTATTTTGAAAAGTTTGTATCAGCAGTGGTTCTCTGATCCTTCTTTGGCTGTGTATTTAATTTTTGAATGGAGAGTATTTTACTATTCTTTACTTTGATATTGAAGATTTTAAACGATTGGGGCCCGGCATTTAGCTCAGTGGTTTTGCCGCCTGCTGCACAAACGCAAGGACCAGAGTTCAATCCCTGGTCCAAAAAAAAAAAAAAAGATTTTAAACGATTGTAAGCTATTGGAATAATTAAAATTAAAACTGCTTCCTTTTTAGAAGCAGATATTCAAGAACTGCTTTCAGAATTGAATGATATTGTTAAAAGTTCAGACAAAAATGTACGTACCAGGGCTCTTTGGGTAATATCCAAACAGACGTTTCCCACTGAAGTTGTTGGCAAAATGGTGAGTATAGCTTTTGTTTGTCTTAACTATATGCCAATAAAGACAATACTGGCCTGTTTGATTTGTATTTATTTGGTTCTGTCTTTTAGGTATCCAGTATAATTGATTCATTAGAAATAGTATTTAATAAAGGAGAGATACATTCTGCAGTTGTTGATTTTGAAGCATTAAATGTTATCATAAGGTATGCTTTTCTGTACTATGCAAATTGGAATAATTGTTTTTTATAGGTTTAGGATTTACTTTAAGGATTACACTAGGTTTGGTGGCATACACCTATAATCCCAGAAATCACATATAATCCCAGCACTCAGGAGTTGGGAGAGGTAGGAGAATCTCCAGTTGAAGTTCTGACTGGATTACAACAGTGAGTTCATAGCCTGCCTGAAATACACAGTAAGACTTCTCAAAAAAGCAAAAATAAAATAAAATTGCTTTAAGGATTGGAGTTGGGATTTTTTTTTTTTGGTCATGGTACTGGGAATTGAACTCAGGACCTTGCTCTTTTGAGGTAGGTGGTGGAACCGCTGAGCTAAATCCCTGACCCTGGGATTTTTTGTGGTACTGGGGATTCAACCTAGAGCCTTGTACATGCTAGACAAATACTGTATTGTGCTACACCCCAGCTAGCTTTCGGGATTTAAGTGTAAAATAGATATGAAAAGAAGGGAATATCTTTTAGACCACAAAGTTAAAGGAAAAGAAAACAGGTAGAAGTTGGATGTAGATGTCAAATTGCTGAGTTTTTACATTTTTACTGGGAAGTCTTAAAAAGTAAACTCTTGGTTACATGCCTGGTGGTAAAAGGCAGTTCTGGTTTTAACATTGTCCCTGCTAGAGCTTTTGCAAGAGTCTTTCTTTTTTTTTGGTACTGGGTGATCGAACTGGGGCCCTTGCACTTTTGAGACAGGCGGCATAACCACTAAGCTAAATCACTGGCCCTTTTGCAAGAGTTTTTGAAAAATACAAATTCATAAGTGAACCAGAGGGTTTGCTTCGGAAGACACAGTGCCTATTAGGGAACAGAAAAATCTCTACATTTTTCCTGTCCTATCCTACTCTTTAAGGTTTGTTGGCTGTCTTCTGTAAGAATATTGAGTTTAGTAGTATAACAATAATTAGTATTATTAAATTTGGGGGGGGGTCTTTTTGAGATAGGGTCTTGCCATGTAGTTCAGGCTTTGAACTTACTGTGTAGCCCGTGCTTCTCTTGTACTCAGAGGCTGTCCTGCTTCAGCCTCCTGAGTCACATGCCACCATATCTGACTAAATTTTCAGTCTAAAGATAAGACCATGTGTTTTCCTTATTTAAAAATTTTCATAAAAACAGGCTGAGGCCAGGGATTTATTTAGCTCAGTGGTTCCGGCACCTGCCTCGCAAATACAAGGTTCTGAGTTTGATCCTCGGTACCAAAAAAAAAAAAAACCAGGCTGGAGGCTTAGCTCAGTGATGGAGCACTTGCGTTGTTTGCACGAGGCCCTGAGTTCAGTCCCCTACACACCCCCTCCCCTGCCAAAATTCTATAAACCTTATGAAAGTGTACAAATTAGCAAGTAAAAGTTTGGTCTCTCTACGCATAATGTATATGTTCTAAAACAAATGGGCCTTTGAGTGCAAAAGAGCCTTTTCACAGTTGTGTAAATTTCTTTTCTTTTTTTTTGGTACTGGGGATTGAACTCAGGACTTCATGCCTCCCAGGCAGGCCTGGCACCACTGAGCTGCATCTCCGGCCTAGTTGTGTGGTTCTATGTGTTCTTTTCCTCGTAGTAAAAAGTGAGGTCAAACTAATTTAGTTATTGATTTCTGTATTACAGGCTAATTGAACAAGCCCCAATTCAGATGGGAGAAGAGTCAGTAAGGTGGGCAAAACTAGTCATACCTTTGGTGGTTCATTCAGCACAGAAAGTACATTTACGGGGAGCCACAGCTCTAGAGATGGGAATGCCATTGTTGCTTCAGAAACAACAAGAAATAGCATCTATTACAGAGCACCTTATGACTACCGTAAGTATTACATTATGTAGGGGTTTTCTGAGTACTGCATTGGAAGATTTTGTACTAAGTAAATTTAAAATTCAGTCTGGGCTCATACTGGTATAACTGCACTATGATATAGGACTTAAACTTTGAATTAAAGCAAAGAGGTGGATAAAGAATTGCTTAATTTATTGTAGACAGATTACTCCTATTTAACAGTGCAGAAGAGAATTGTCTTTCTGTTGCAGTCTAAATACAGCATTTTATCCCATTTCCAATGAATGGTGAATAGAAAGTGATTATATTGTTGAAAAAGAGCAGTAACTGATTTAGCACTGTTCAATTGTTGTATAATTCTAGTAGATACAAATTCAACACATAAAAGCGCACAATTTCCTGTTTATTATTTGTTTCAAGTCTTAGGTTTATTAGCGTTTATTCTTACAACATTTGTTGAGTATCTTTTATATGTGGTGCATTGTTCTAGGCACCATTGACCTTAGTAGTGAAACAAAGGCTTACTCTAGTGCTTATTTTCTAGTGTGAAAAGAGATGAAGCATTATAGTGTATTAAGTGAAGAACAATGGAGCAGCAGGGACAGGATAGAGAGGAGTGATGAGATGGACATGGCAAATTAAAAAAATTCAGACATTAAAATAATGATGGCAAACCTATCAGAGTCCAGGTGCCCAAATTGCAACCCAAAACCAGTGCTCAGCTGCTGGGGTGATTTGGCTTGCGTGCTTGCATGCCAACAGAGAGACTATCCCCACTGCAGCATGTGTGCCATAGGTTTGCTACCACTGCATGAGAACAGTGATTTGGAGTATGGAAGTTAGCCACATGGGCAATATGTGGTAAGTTTGTTCCAGACAAGAAAACCATGAGTGCAAGAGGGCCTGCTCTTGTTATGCACCAGTTGGTGTTTGGAGAATACCATGTGCAGTATGACAGCAGTGGGAATGAGTGAGGATGAGCAGAATGGAAGATAATGTCAGAGGAACAGAAAGAGACACAGATGAAACCTTAGGGACCATTGTTTTTACTTTGTATGTGATATTAGGGATTGAACAGGAGCACTAAGCTATATCCTTGGCCCTTCATTATTTATTCTTTTATAGTACTGGGGATGTACCAGGTTCTTGCACATGCTAGGTAAGTACTGTACCACTAAGCTACATCCCCAGTGTGGCTCCCACTACTGTTCTTATGTTTTGTTTTTTGAGAGGTCTTGTTAAATTACCAGACGGCTCCTGAGTAGCTGGCATTACACATGTGAGCCACTACGTACAGCTTTACTATAATATAAAGTCCTATTTGAATGTTTTGAGCCTGATTGTAATACATACTAGATCAGATTTCATCATTTTTTGTTGTACTGAGGATTGTACTCAAGGCCTTTGCACTGAGGCCCTCCCCTTAATTATTACTATTATTATTATTTTTGTTTTTTGTGTTTTTTGGGGTTTTTTTTTTTTTTGGTACCAGGGATTGAACTCGGGACCTTGCGCTTGTGAGGCAGGTGGCGGAACCACTGAGCTAAATCCCTGGCCCCATATTATTATTATTTTTTGTTGTTGTTATTACTGGGGCTCGAACTTGGGTCCTTGTGCTTGCGCAGCAGGTGACAAAACCACTGAGCTAAATCCCTGGCTCATCCCCTTAATTATTTTGAAATAAGGTATCACTAAGATACTAAGTTGCCAAATTGCCCTTGTAAAGGGATTATTTTGACTGTTTAGAATGTGAGTGCTTGAGCAGGAGCCAGGGAGAAGGGTTACAAGATAGAGTACTGCAATAATCCAGGCAGTGAGGGAGCCTTGTACATTCTAAAACCTGGATTAAAAAAAAATTTAGGAGACCTGTTTGTAACATTTAATAAAGTAAGTTAAATGTCTCTGAGAATTGTTTTATTCTGAGAAGTGTATTTATATTTCATAGGATTTATAAAATTCCATTTTTGGTCTTTTGAGAACAAGTCTTGCTGTGTTCCAGGCTGGCCTCTAAGTTGGCGATCTAATTGCGTCGACTTCTAAGATGCTGGGAGTAGTGGGATGCACTATCATTCCTGGCTATTTATACATTTGAGTTTAAGTTTTCTTTAGATATTTGTTGTCAGTGAAACTAATGATACATTTTTTTTTGGTACCGGGGATCAAACTTAGGACCTTGTGCTTGTGAGGCAGGCATGTCACCACTGAGCTAAATCCCCAGCCCCTGATAAATATTTTTTAATTAGTGTGAGATTAGTATATTATCATTTGAGCTTTAGTTAAAAATGTGCATGTTGAAATTTTTAGGAGAAAGTATTCTGGTAGGAAAAAAATAAGCTGGATTGATGGATGGTGGGATGGCCAGATATGTGATAAATGTTGTGGTACAGTACATATTTAATGGTTGAATCTTGTGTTTTGTTGAATATTTACCATAAAACCTTTCAGATTTGCTATGTGTTTCAAAGCTTTCCTTGTATTTTTTTGGGGGGGATTTTTTTTTATACAAAGAATATTTGAGAATTAATTTTTGTAAGTTATTTCTATACTTTTGATACTAGATTTTTTTCTTTCCATGAATATTTGTTAAATATTTTACTTTTGTTTGCAGAAATTAATCCCAGAACTCCAAAAGCTATTTATGAGTAAAAATGAGACGTATGTTTTAAAATTGTGGCCCTTGTTCGTTAGACTTCTTGGAAAGGTAAGCGCCAATAAACAGTCCATGCTTCCTATGTGCCAGATCCTTGAAATTTTTTAAATTTTCTGTAGTTCAGTCCATCCTCGTTTATTCATGTTTCCCTTTTTTGTGTAGTCATTCAATTTATTTATAAAACCCACATCAATATTTAATATCATTTGTAGATATGAAGAGTGGTAAAGAATTTTGAGTTACTCAAAGTGTATGATCTCAGCTAAGGTCCAGCAAGGTTGTACTTTTTGTTTGCTTTATCTTTTGCATTTTAAACAAGTGTCCTTTTCATAGTCCATTTAGTTACACATGTTTTGTACCTTTTTCTTTTGATGATTTTGTTATTTGAAATGGCCTTCTAGTGTTTCTATGCACAGAAGGGTTGTGTTGTGATGGGTTAAATAATCTTTTTCTGACATGAATTAATAGTGCTGTTGCTTTGAGTTCAGTGGTATGAAATAATTATATATTAAATAAGGTATCTTTAAATGGAGAAACAAGATTATATAATGAATACAGTAAAGCCTTGGTTTACGAGTATGATTCGTTTCTAAAAACATGCTTGTAATCCAATGCATTTGGATATTAAAGTGAATTTTTCCATAAGCAATAACGGAAACTCAGATGATTTGTTCTACAACCCAAAGATAGTCATAAAAATGATTATAATACTATAATACAAAACAATAAAACAAAATATAAAGAAAAATAAATTAACCTGCACTTAACCTTTGAAAACCTTCGTGGCTGGCCAGATTACCATGTAGGACAACTTTCATGATCACTAACAGAATCACGGCTCTCTACTGGCTCAGTGGTATCGACGCTGGATTTTGTCTCTTTTTGAGGATTTTGTGGAAATATGCGATGTTTTTAGGAAGACATTTGTTTAGACATTTGTTTATCAGGTTAAAATTTGTTAGCGGTGTTTGCTTGTCTTGCTGAACACTCCCAAAACAAGTTACTTGTAATCCAAGATTTTGCTGTACTTGGTAATCATAAGCTGACTGTGTTACAGCTTTATGTATTCATGATGGTGTACCGTTTTTTAGAGTGTATTCCTAAGTATAAAAAGTTTACTGAAACAAATGGGACGTGGTGGCACACAGCTGTAATCCCCATACTGGGGAGGAAGAGACAGGAGTGAGTTTGAGGCTAGCCTGGACTACACAGCAAGACCCTTCTTCAAAAAAAAAAAACAAAACAAAAAAAACCAGTAAAGAAGTTTACTGAAACAGGACATTGTGCTATGCTAGAGGCAACCTTATCTCATTTTTACTGTGTGTTTTTTTTTTTTTTTCGTACTGGGGATTGAACTTGGGACCTTGTGCTTGCGAGAAAGGCAGCAGAACCACTGAGCTAAATCCCCAGCCCCTGTTCTTAATTTAACCTTGTTTGTTCATGATGGCACTAGGAGTAATAGCCTATGTCATTTATATACACCAAATAGACTAAAAGCTTGTATAAGGCTCTTCAGAGTTTGTGTAAGTTCCATCCTACTTTGCCCAGTGGTGCATTTCCTATCTTTAATGTGATACATGATTTTTTTTTTTTTTTTTATACCAGGGATGGAACTTGGGACCTTGCACTTGGAAGGCAGGTGCCAGAACCACTGAGCTAAATCTCCGGCCCATCTGTTTAATTTTTTTAAGTGTTATGTAATAGAATAACTTTCCAGATAGCTTTTTTTTTTTGAGACAGGTTCTCACTATGTAGCCTAGGCTAGCCTTGAATTTATAAGAGATCCTCCTGCCTCAGCCTGAAATAGCTTTTTTCAGATTGTTTTCATTGCTGGTCTGTAGAAATACAAGTGATATATATCTATCTTGGTGTGTAACTTTGCTGGATATACTAGCTCTAGTAGCTTTCTTGTGAATTCTTTGTTTTCTGAGTCAGTGTGTGTGTGTGTGTGTGTGTGTTGTTGCTGTTTACATTCTAAGATTATATGTGGTTTCTAGTTTCTTAGTGAATTTTTCTGAAATTATTTTCTTGGGATTATTTGTCATTTACATTTTATTTTCTTTTTGATATATATTACTCCCATTTTAGTTATATTTGGAACTAATTTTGACAGTTTGGTTGATTGTGGGCTCTTTTTTTTTTTCTGGTGACACTGAGCATTGAACCCAGGATCTGCACACGGAATTATAAACCCAGCTCTTATTTTGAGACAGGGTCTTGGAGAGTTACACAGGCGACACGAACTTGGGATCCTTTTGTCTCAGACTGATCAGTGGCGGAATTACAGTATAGGCGAGTGTGCCACTGTGTCTGGCTCTTTTATTATTTGCTTTAGCAGATGTTATCATTTTCTACATTTTTTTTCCATTCGTGAGGGCAGGCCTTTAGCTAGTTTTTCTGCCTATTGTAACCTGCCTGAAAACATTTTTAAATAGGGTTTACATTTTTTTTTCCACTAATATTGCTCATATTTTTCATGTAAATGGACTGTAGGTATCCCTAATCTGAAGCTGAAAATGCTCCAAAGTCCAGAGCTTTTGGTTCCCTCACTTGATGTGAGAAGTGAAAAATTCCATACCTGATCTTACATGATGAATTTCAGCCAAAACATGGGTGAATTTAAAATATTGTACAAAATTAACTTTCTAAGCTATGTATGTATACAAGATGATTATGGAACATAAATGAATTTTGTGCTTATGCTTGGGTTCTATCCCCAAGATAATCTCATTATGTACTATATATGCAAATATTCTAAAATCTGAAATATTTCTGGCCCCAAGCAGTAAGATACTCAATCTGTACCTATTTTCTTTCATATTAGTTTGATACAATTTGAAATATATCTAATTATTTTCTCTGCTGTAAAAGTGTTCTGTATTGGACATTATCTACTTCAATTGATCTTTGTTTTGTGATCTTGAATTTTGTAAGAGTAACAACATTTGTTGTAACACATAAGAGGTTTGTTTTGTATGTAATTTGTCTTCCTTTTAGACTTTGAAATCCTCAGAACATATCTTAAGTAAATTAAGAATGGTGCCTGTATTTTGTTTCTTGAAAATGAATAATTTTTTTAACAGTAACAAAGTTTTATTACAGGCAGAAAAAGAAAAAGGCTCTGCAGATTGAGTTTGGGTCAAGTAAAAGTAAGAAAAGCATACACTCTACAGCGTGAGTGTGGGTCACCATGCAAAAGAGAGCACACTGGCCAGATCAGTATTTTCTTGATAATTTTTCTCTTGTTTTAGACCTTGCATCGAAGTGGGACTTTCATCAATTCTTTGCTACAGCTGGAAGAATTAGGATTTCGCAGTGGAGCACCCATGATTAAAAAAATAGCTTTTATTGCTTGGAAGAGCTTAATAGATAATTTTGCTTTAAATCCAGGTATGTAAATAATTTAGCACTTTTTGTTTCCTCTGAATTCATTTTACTTTTAAATTTATTCTTATTTATTTATTGAGACAGAGTTTTGTGATGTAGTTCAGGTTAGTCATGAGCTCACTGTGTAGCCTAGGCTGACCTTGAATAGGAGGTGATCCTCCTACCTCTCCCCAGCACTGGGATTAGAGGCATGATCCACCATGCCCAGCCCATTTGAAAAACTGAACAAAGTGAAAAATACCTTTTGTGGTATTCTAGCACCAAGCTAAACACTTAGGTGCTCTCTTTTAGAGGTGCTAGCAATTGAACCCAGGGCCTTGTGCATCCTAGGCATGCACTCTGTCGCTGAGCTACATCCTCAGCCTAAATGACAGAGTAGTTGTAATAAATATTGGTGAAAGTCAGTCCATCAAATACATGGTTTGACTGATGTTTCAAGGTCCTTTTTTAGTCTTTTTGACATGATACTTAAAGACCATCTCTTAATCTTATGTGTCCCCAGCCTTACTCATGTAGTACATATGTGATATATTTTGTTTAAAGAATTGGATTTCATGTGTATGGTAAATTTTTGTTTTAAATTTTATTTTATTGGCACATTTTAGGTACATAATATAATGACATTTTAGGTACAATATAATGACATTCATCATTAGAAATTTGTACCTTTACATGATCTCTCTTGGTTCTTATTTTTTTCCCCCTTCCCCTGCCTCCCCTTCAACCCCTCCATCCCTCCCTATATACAAAGACTTTGTTTCCATTTTTTCATTCTCTCATGTTAATTCCATTCCCTTCTTTCCCCTACCCCCACTTCCCCTTCCCCTTTGCCCCTTTTCCTATTTCACATTATCTGTTATACATTTTGATCCTTATTTACACTTTCAGTTTCTCACACTAGAGAAACTATTCGGTATTTATACATGTGTGTCCTATTTATTTCACTTAAGAGTATTTCCTCAGTGTGCATCCATTTAGCTATAAATGTCTCTAATTTCTCATTTTTTATGGCTGAGTAGTACTCCATTTAAAAAACCACATTTTCTTTATCCAGTCTTCAGTTGATAGGCAATTGGGCTGCTTCCAAGTTTTAGCTATTACAAACTGCTGCTATGAACATGGGTGGACATATATCACTGTGGTATGATTCTTTTAATTCTTTGGGGAAGATACCCAGCAGGGGAATAGCTGGGTCAAATGGGACTTCTAGTTCTAGTTCTTTGAGGTATCTCCATACTGATTTCCACAGTGGTTGCACCAGTCTACACTGCCACCAGCAGTGGAGCAGGGTTCCTCTTTCCCCACAGCCCCGCCAGCATTTGTTATTGGTTGATTTCACGATAGCAGCCATTCTTTCTGGGGTGAGGTGGAATCTCAGCATTGTTTTCATTTGCATCTCTCGAATGACCCGTGATGTTGAACATTTTTTTATGTATTTATTTGCTATTTCTACTTCTTTGAGAAATGTCTGTTCATTTCAGATGCCCATTTTTGGATTGGGTCTTTAAATTTGGGAGGTCTGATCTTTTTGAGTTCTTTATAGATTCTAGATAGTAGACCTTTTTTGTGTGAGGAACAGCAGGTGAAAATTTTTTCCCACATTGTAGGTTGTCTATTCACTCTGTTGGTGGTTTCCCTTGCTGTGCAGAAGCCTTTTAATAAGAAGAGATCCCACTTACTGATTGTGCTAGTTCATGGGCAACTGAGGTTTTGTTCGTAAAATCTTTTCCTACACCAGTGTCTTCAAGAGTTGTGCCTAACCTCTGTTCCAGCCAGTTCAGCGTTTCTGTTTTAATATTTAGATGTTTAATCCATTTTGATTTTAGTTTAGTGCATAGTGAGAGTTATAGGTCTAGTTTTAATCTTTGGCAAGTTGAAACCCAATTTTTCCAGTACCATTTATTAAGGAGGCTATCTTCAGTGAGGGTGTTTGCGTGCTGAATTTTAAATGATCTGATGCTGTTAAAGTAAAAATTGAAGTAAACCTGTTTCGATTTCTAAAATATAATCACTGGCCTCAACATTAATGATGTTTAATAGAATAAGCTACTAATTTCAGAGGCGGAGCCTTTTTTTTAACACAAAATGTAAAAATGTGCTGTGCAGTGCCTTGCCTTGCCTTGCCTTGTCTTTTCTTAGCTACTTTTCTTGATTCCAGGGTCTATTCCCACAATAGACAAGCACTCTACTGAGTTACGTCCTGGTTCCCCATCCTTGCCTTATTTTTTTATGGTACTGGGAATTTGAGCCGAGGGGCACTGTACCACTGAGCTACATCTTCAAACCTTTTCATTTTGAGGCAAGGTCTTGCTAAATTGCCCAGGCTAGCCTCAAACTTTTTTTGATTTTTTTTTTTTGAGACAGGATCTTGCTGTGTAGTTCAGTTGGCCTTGAACTCAACTATGTAGGTGCAGCCTGGCCTCAAACTTGTGATCCTCATGCCTCAGCCTCCCGTATGCTGGAATTACAGACATGCACTCCATGCTTGTCTCTCATGTCCTCAAACTTAATCTTCCTGACTCAGCCTCCTGTGTAGGTAGGATTACATGGGTGTATAGCAGTGTTTGGTGGATGCATTTTTTTCATTTGTCACATGGAGTTAATGAGAATGTGAAACCAGGAGGGTTTTTCTCAGTTTTGGAACTTTGCACTGGATATTTGTTGTTGGGGACTATCTATCTGGTGTGTTCCAGAAAGTTTAACAACATCCTTGGTTTCAACCCACTGAGTGATAGTGTGATCCCTCCAGATGGCAGCAACCAAAAATATTACAAACATTGCCAAATGTCCCCTGGTGGGAAAATCATCCTTGACAAGCAGCATCTATCTAGTAATACTCCTTTTCAGGATTCTGTTGTTGCCATACTGGAGTTTATTAAAGGGAGCATTTTGGGTAGGGCAAGAAGAGTCTGATTTTTGTTTTAAAATTTTTCTAGCTGTATTAAAAGACTTACATATCATATTTTTAAAAAATTTAATCTTTACCTCTTAAATCATTTTACCTGTGTGCTTATTTTGTTTTAAGATATACTATGTAGTGCAAAAAGACTGAAGTTGTTAATGCAGCCTTTGAGTTCCATCCACGTGAGAACAGAAACCCTAGCATTAACGAAGTTAGAAGTCTGGTGGTATTTACTAATGAGACTCGGACCTCATCTCCCTGCTAATTTTGAACAGGTAACATTCTAAGTGCTAACTGTAACACTGGATGTAATTTTTTTTAACAGTGCTCTTAAATTCTTGCAAATCTTATCTCTTAGTTTTAGTTCTGCTCTTTATTAGCCAGGGTTTTAGCTCAGTGGTTCTGGCACCTGCCTCTGCTCTGTATTAGGCCACAGTACATAAAAGATCTTTTTCCTGTTCAGAATTTGAGTTCATTTCCTGCAAGGAGTACCCTCTAGTTGACTGAAGTAAAGGCCCACAAGCCTTTTCAGTCTGCAAACAGTTATCTATTCTTATCTAGAAACATTGTGGTTTGCAGAGATTTGTATCAAAGGGTTTAAAAATCAACTAATGTTAGAAAAATAGCAATCAAGTGTTAAAGTGGGTAGTTCGTTCAATTTTTGTCTTTTTTTCTAGGCTGCCAAGTTCACAAATCATTTAACCTCATTGTAGTTATTTTTTAATTGATAAAAATGATTTTTTTCCTATATAATATATTTTGATATTTAGATATTAAATTTAATCTTGGCTCTTTTTTGGTTTTTTTTGGTACCGGGGATTGAACTCGGGTCCTTGTGGCTGTGCAGCAGGCAGCGAAACCACTGAGCTAAATCCCCAGCCCTCTTGGCTCTTTTTTGAGACAGGGACTTGCTATGTAGTGTAGCTGGCCTTATAGTCTCTATGTAGCCTAGGCAATCCTGGTTCAGCCTCTGGACTGCTGGGATCATAGGCATGTGCCACCACACGTGACAATATTAAATTTAATCCTGTTTAAAGCCTTCTCTCACAATCCTGTCCTTGGTTTCAGGATTTCCTTTTTACAGTTAAAAAGGAGTATCTCTTATAATTAAACCTTTTCATTTCATTATCTCTTATTTTGGATTTTGGAGTAGATTTTACTTGGATCTATAGTGTCTGTACTCTACTTTTGTTGTTTGTACTGGGAAATTGAACCCAGTCAGGGCGTTGGGTATGCTAGGCAAACATTACTGCTGAGCTCCACCACCAGTCACCTTTTACCTCGAGGCATTTTTGAGACACGGTCTTCCTAAATTGTCCAGACTGGCCTTGAACTTGTAATTCTTTTGCCTCAGCATCTGAAGTGCTGGGATTACAGGCACACACCACTACACGTGGCTTTATGGTAGGTTTCTTATGGTTCATATAAATAACTACAAATTAAGGAGTGCATTCTTAAAAAGGGGGACTTACAGTTGAGCCATTTTTGGATTTTTGTTAAGTTCTTAGTTTTTGTTTTTGTTTTTTTTGATAAAAGGCTTTAAGCTTGATGTAACATGAAGTAATTGAAATTGGGCATTGATAGTAAAATGTTATTGGAATCATATTGAATTTTCTGGATTCTACCATTATAGTTTTCAGATAAACTAGTTGGAATAACTGATTTAGTGATTAAATGTGAGTGATAACTGGAGTGATTTTAGAAGTGAGGTTTTAATCCTAAATTTCCTCATTGATATTTTCCAGAATTCTTTTCTAAAGCTTGAGGTCTGTGGGGTGTGGCTTAGTATAGTAGTAGTAGAGCTTGTGCCTAGCCTGAGACTTTGACCTCATCTCAGGCCTACTTTGTCAACAGCACCAAAAAACAAAACTAAAAACACTTCTGTCAAATTGCACATAATAGTCAAGTAGATGTTACCATTTTCTGCCTGGCACTTAAGACAGAAATGTACAGGGGCCGGTGGTTTAGCTCAGTGGTTCTTTTGTCTGCCTCGCAAGTGCAAGGTCCCAAGTTCGATCCCTGGTACCAAAAAAAATCATTCAGAAATGTACAGATAATACACATTTAGGGCAAATACAGTTACAGTAAAATGTTTTATTTTCCTAAATTTCAAGTTTTAGTCTGCGAGTGGGAACAGCCAATATAATTCAGTACGGATTGAGAGTCCTTTATCTGAAATGCTTAAGAACAGAAATATTTTGCTTTTCAAATTTTTTCATGTTAAAATACTCCCGTATACTTAATGAGATATCTTGGGGATAAGCTCCAAGTCTAAATATGAAATACATTTGTTACTTTCTGCATGAATACAGCCTGAAGCTAATTTTATACACTATTTTAAGTGTGACTGTGTTTTGACTGATCTCACGTGAGGCCCGTCAGGTGTATAATTTTCCACTTGTAGCATTGAGGACTCAAAATGGTACAGGTTTTTGAATTTTCAGATTAAGGGTGTTCAAATTTTTTCTCGCTGTGTAGTCCAGACTGACTTGAACTCCTTGAACTCACAGTGTAGCCTAGGCTTGTCTCAAACTCATGGCAATCATGCCTCATCCTCCTGAGTACTGGAATTATAGGTGAGCACCACCAAGAGAGGGTGCTTAACCTTTTTATTAAAAGATTTAAAGTTGCTTCTTAAAGAAATTTCAATGTATTTTACTGGCTTTTAGAGAAATATTAACAGCACAGTTTATAGACTTTTCTGCTTTCACCCAATAGGTTTGTGTGCCTCTGATTCAGAGCGCAATAAGTGATTCTAGCACTTCGCCTCAAGGAAATTCATCTCGTATAGCTTCTTCTCCAGGATTAAATCCTATGACTCCTGTACACAAAGGTAAGGGGCAGATGTTCTTTTTTCTCTTTTTAAAGGCTTTAAATGAAGGCTTAGTATTTTTTCACATGAAGAAAAATCACCTTATAACTTGGATCGCTCTTAAATTCGTTATATATATTTCTTTGTTTTGTTACTGAATTTTTTTCTTTTTAGAGGGTCTAGCTGGCACTGGATTGAACCCAAGGCCTTGTGCATGCTAGGCAAGTGCTCTGCAACTGAGCCAACTCCCTGGACCTTTTTCTTTTTTAAATTTTTAAAAATTTATTTTAGTACTGGGAATTGAACCCAGAGCCTTCACACTGAGTTGCTTTCCCAGCCCTTTTTAAATTTTTCAATTTTGAGACTGTGTCTCATAAAGTGGCCAGGGTGACCTTGATTTTAATATTCATCCTCATCTTCCTCACTAGCTGAGATTATAGGTACTTAACTCTGCCACCCTTTGCTTGATTAATGTTTTAGCATATTGTTGTAGTTGGAAAGGATGAATATTTTCTCACCGGTATATGAGTTTCAGTGCAAACAACTTAGAATGGTTAGTATAGTATAAAGCAATATGAAATTCTCTTTCTGACCAGAATCTTAGTGTTTTGATTAAAAATAGGTCTTAGCAGATAAAAGAAATGTGGTTTAGTATATTACACTATTGAAAAACAGTTATTTGTTATTATTGTTACTATTCTCTTTAAATTTAGAAAGACCTACATATTAATAATTTCAAGGGATAGCTTAATGCTTGGGATTTAAATTGTGTTTATTTTTATAGGCACATTTTACTGAAATAAGCTAAATACATGTATTTGGGTAGCTAGTAGCTGATATAAAATATGGTTGTTTAATTTGACGTTCTTTTCTTTTTTAAAGGTCCTTCCCTATATGGAGGTCCTGTAACTCCACGAATACACATAAGTACAAATTCAAGTGGAATGGCAACAATCCCTTCCATTCAACTTTTGGGACTTGAAATGCTGCTTCATTTTTTGCTGGGTCCAGAAGTCTTGAGTTTTGCTAAGCAACACAAACTTGTATTGAGCTTAGGTATTTATTCTTAAAATAATTTAACTTATTAAAACAATCTACCTTGGTGTGTTGTGAGGAGGGGGTCTTGTTTCTTCCACAGCTCAATTATAATTTTATAATTGTTAAATAAGTATAAATATTTTTAATAACACATTCAGATCAACTAAAATTTTATATTGAGAAATTTGCTGCATAAATCTTGTGTTTTACATAATTGTCTTTTATTCTCCTTTCAGAACCACTTGAACATCCATTAATCAGCAGCCCTTCTTTTTTTTCCAAACATGCACATACACTTATCACTGCTGTTCATGACAGCTTTGTTGCAGTTGGGAGAGATGCTTCTGGTAAATAAATATTTAAGAGAAAATTTTTATTTGTTGCAATCTGTTTTATAAGAAGATAAAATATCAACCATTTGGCCTATTGATGTAGCTCAGGGCAGAGCAGTTGGCTTAGCGTAGTCCAGTTTAAAAAGAAGCTGATTTGTACAGTGAAGTAAATAACTTTTGCAAAGTCACGTAGTAAATGGTGCAGCTACGATTCATGCCCAGGCTAGGTGGCTCTAGCATCTGCATTTAAACCCTTGTGTTTATAATTCATTAAATAATGTGGAAAAGAAATTTCAGAAATCAAATACTTTGCTCTTTAACTGGCGAGAAAATGAATCACGTTTATCACTTGTGATGTGTCTAAATCATTGTTGTTAAGTGATGGGTTAAATATAGAAAATAGAGATGGGAAGATTAAACCAGTTATCCTTTGTTACAAGACCTATTAACATGTTATAGTTCTTTTAAAAAATAGGTTTAATTTTTTAAACATATAAGTTCATAATTTTATAAATTACTGGAATGAGTATTGACAAGTAAATTGACACAAATAAGTATAGCACAATTTGTTATTTAGTATAAGGAAGAAAGGGGGAATCTTTGTAATCATGTATCTCATTAAAAGTACTTTGTTTGACAGATGCAGTTGTCAGTGCTATCTGGAAGGAGCTAATTAGCTTAGTGAATTCACTTACTGAATCTGGTGAGTGCTGTTACACTGATCAGATAATTTTTATAGTACCCAGTGAATTATTTGGCTTTCATATATGAAATTTAAAATTGTTTTTGTATAGTCAGGTTTCCAAACTAATTTGCTTAAAATAATTACTCTTGATTTATCGCAGTATTGTTTAGTAATAAGTTAATTATGTCTCTGAATATATTCACCTGTGAAAATACAAGTTTAGGATTATACTCTTTTTAGGTTTTTTTTTTTTGGTATCGGGGATTGAATTTGGGTCCTTCTGCTTGCGTGGCAGGCAGTGGAACCACTGAGCTAAATCTCCGGCCCTTAGGATTATACATATCTTTTTGATAGGTAACAAAAAAGAGAGACCAGGTTCTGAAGTATTGACCCTCCTACTGAAATCTTTGGAAAGCATAATGAAGTCTGAAGTACTTCCTGTATCGAAAACGCTGGTAAGTATACTTGTAAATGGGACTTTAAAACTTATAATATGAAATTGAGTTTTATATCGATATTTTGCACAGGACAGGTTTTGGGTAGAGTTTATATCAAGTATTTGTCAGCAATTTAGTTCTGTAATAAATGCTGTTGTATTGATTTTAGAGTCATTTAAAGACTTTATAAGAAATGACTAAAAGCAACTGCAAAAAATCTATTGTGTTTTTTTTTTTTGGGTACCGGGGATTGAACTCGGGTCCTTGCGCTTGTGCAACAGGCTGCGAAACCACTGAGCTAAATCTCCGGCCCCTCTATTATGATTTTTTAAAAATTAGCTAAGGGAGAAAATGAGGTAAAAGATGTGGATTTGAACTGAAAAAACTAAAATGTCTGCTAATTTATTTTAAGATTGTTGAATAACATTAATGTTAGCACATTGTTTTTAGATAAACTCTTTAACCAGGATAATGGCTTTGGTATTTGTTTCTCAACTTTTATAGTAGAGGAGGAAAAGAAGAAATTGAATATAACTTTATTATAGCCTTCTCTAATGAGGTGCATATGGAACAATACCCTTAATTAAATTCATTCTGAGTCTCATTCTTTTATATGCTTTGACAGTTAAGTGCACTGTGGTGGTATTGAATAGTGGTTAATAACTCCAGAGGAGATTACATTGAATTTCTCTCCAACTTTCTATTAGCAGTGACTTGAGCAGTTTATTTGCCCTAATGGCTTCAGTTTGACTCATTTATAAGGTTGGAATGTAGTAGTAATTAGTCATTAATACATAGAAAGCACCATGGGCAAAGTAGAGGATAAATGGTATCGATTATCAACATTAGTGTGTTTCAAAGGAAAGTTTGTAAGTTTCAGTAACATAACTATCATATTGTTCATGACATGCAAGGTCCATAGTTTATGTTAATGCAACTACATATGTTAAGAGTTTTGGATAGTAGTTGGGTAAGCTTAATCAGATTTGAGTTGGCAATCTTAGGCTTAGCTTATAGTTAGTCTTTTGAAAAACTATAGTGATATCTCAGTTGTTGAACGGCTCGAATTTCGAACTTTTCACTTCTCAAACAGCAAAATTTGAAAAAAAATTACTGGTGTTCATAACTTTGCTCGATAGTTGAACTGAAAATTCAACTTGAAAAAAACCTTACAAACCGAGAGTCATGCATCATATCTGGCTGCACACACCAAAGGGGTTGACTTAAGTCTAAGTGCCCCTTTCATCCATGTAACATAGTGCTTGTATTAGTTCATTAAAACATTCATCAATGTGCTTTTTGTTTTGCACTTTGTGTAAACTATCATAGCCATAGTTCCAAAAAAACTTAGTGATACCAGCAATAAAGCTCAGAGGAAAACTGTGAAAACCATGATAGAGTTAAAGAAAGAAATCATCGTGAAATTTATTAAAGTCCTGGAGAAATGAATTTGTAAGTGTAATTTTCCGGCCCCAGTTACTTGGTTTTGCATTATTTCTTGTGGAAAATATATGTTCAGTTCTCCATCTTTTCAGTGCCTCAATACAAATTTGGAACAAAATGAGTTTGACAATGGAGATATCACTCATTGTATAGTAGGTGATTCTGGCACTATTGAACATATAATTCATTGCAGTATTTCTTTTAACAGTATAGAAGAAATAGTCTCAAGTCCATTTTTAGGAAAGTAGTTGAATAAACAAATTGTGGACACTCACTTGCATAGTAATGTATATATAGATTGATGTCTGTACTTAACACGTATCAGATTTAGGTCTGAAAATAAGATTCCAAACAGCATTGATTGTCCTTAGAGGTAAAGGGCTTCGTCACTCTACCTCCTGTGTTTCTGTACCTGAACTTCTAAAACAAATGAGAATGTTTAAACACTAATGTATTTAGAGTGAGCATTATCAGTATTAAATTGTTAAAAATATAGTTAACACTATTAGACTTCTAAAAAGTGAAGTGGCATTTGGGGGGGGCGGGCAGGGATTGAACTCAGGACCTTGTGCTTGCAAGGCAGGCGGCAGAACTACTGAGCTAAAATCCCTGGCCCAAAGTGGCATTTTTATTACTAACTACTATAAAACTTTTTGTCTTTTTTAGGTCCTCATGGAAATTACAATTAAAGGACTTCCTCAGAAAGTATTAGGTTCACCAGCATATCAGGTTGCTAATATGGATATTCTTAATGCAAGTATCTTAAATGTAACGTGATAAAGATTGCCCCCCCCAAAAAAATTATACAGTATTTTTTAAAGGTGTCATTTAGTTGTAAAATTTTTAGATTATTGGATTTGAAATATGTTGACCAAATTAAAATGATGCACAAAGTAATAGATTAAGGAATTAAATACAGCGCTAAATAATGGACCCCAGAGGAAAGTTTTCTTTTTTGTTATTGTTGTTGGTTTTTGGTTTTTTTTGAGGTAGGGTCTCCCTTTGTATTTCAGGCTGGCCAAGGCACTTCTGATGGTGCTCTTCCTGACTCAGCCTCCTAAGTGCTGAGATAACAGGTGTCCACCACACCCAGCTCATTGTTTTTTAAGACAAGGTCTCACTATATATTTCAAGCTGGCCTTGAACTCAGTATGTAGTCCAGGTTGACCTCGAACTTGTGATCATCTTGCCCGTCTCCCCAAGTGCTGGTCTTATAGGGCTGCACCACCATGCTCGGTTTTGCTGTTTCAAATTTTGAAAGCTTAGGATCCTAGTAATATGAATTGTACTTTTGATCTACATCATGTAGGTGTTGTAGGTCCAGCAAGTTTTAGGTTAAGTCTTTATATCTGTACTCACGCAGTTTTTTAAAAAACTAATTTTATTGGTGCATTTTAGGTATACAATATAATGAATGACATTCATCATTGGAAATTTGCATCTTTACATAATTTCTCTTGGTTCTTATTTTTTCCCCCTTCCCCTGCCCTCCAACCCCTCCACCACTCACTATTTACAAAGACTTTGTTTCCATTTTTTCATTTTCTCATATGTATTAATTCATTCCCTTTCCTCCCCCCCCCACTTCCCCTTCCCCTTTGCCCCTTTTCTTCCTATTTCACATTATTATACCTTTTAGTCCTTATTTCCGTTTTCAGTTTCTCACACTAGAGAAATTATTTAGTATTTACACGTGTGTCCTATTCATTTCACTTAAGACTATGGCCTCAATGTGCATCCATTTAGCTATGTCTAGGAAAGAGCACTTTTTTTTTTTGGTATCGGGGATCGAACTCAGAACCTTGGACTTTCGAGGCAGGTGGTGGCACCACTGAGCTAAATCCCTGGCTATTTAGCTATGTCTAATTTCTCATTTTTTGTGGCTGAGGAGTACTCCGTTTTATACAAAAACCACATTTTCTTTAGTCTGCAGTTGATGGGCAGTTGGGCTGCTTCCATGTTTTAGCTATTACAAATTGTGCTCCTATGAACTTGGGCACACATATATCACTGTGGTATGAGTCTTTTAATTCTTTGGGGAAGATACCCAGCAGGAGAATAGCTGGGTCAAATGGGACTTCCAGTCCTAGTTCTTTGAGGTATCTCCATGCTGATTTCCACAGTGGTTGCACCAGTCTATACTCCCACCAGCAGTGAGCAGGGTTCCTCTTTCCTCACAGCCCCGGCAGCATTTGTTATTGTGATTTCATGATAGCAGCCATTCTTTCTGGGGACTCACACCATGTTTTTATTTTTTTTTTTGGTACCGGGGATTGAACTCGGGTCTTTGCGCTTGCACAGCAAGTGGTGAAACCACTGAGCTAAATTCCCGGCCCAACTCACCATTTTTTATCTCTTGACATCTAGTTCATCTGTTACTAGAACATAAAGAGATTAATTGTTATGTATAGTTTCTTTAGATAAATTTGCTTTTGTCATATGCTGAGTAATGCTAAAGTTAAATATTTCATGTTAAAATGATCATGTTTCTTCTTACGTAATGGGTTGTAATTCAGAAGATTGACTTCATTTTTTTTTTTTTTCAGGGAACTCCAGCTTTGTTCTTAATTCAGTTAATTTTCAGCAGTTATCTCCAGGAATGTGGTATAGCAGATGAAAGGTAAGTTTCTGCTTTAAATAATTTGATACTTTGTTGTTTGTGTTGGACAGACTATATAATGAATGTAGGTTTTAAAATTTTGTATAGTATTTCGTGAAGTTTTTAAAAAATTAAAGCTTGGAATTCATCTCTTGGCAGTTTTTAGAATTTTGTTAATGCACAGTAGATGTATTTTTGCACATAGTGCTTACATTGGTTATAATTTTTTCTTTAGGTTTTTTCTAAATCTGGAAACACTTGTAGGCTGTGTGCTTTCTGGTCCAACTTCACCACTAGCTTTTAGTGACTCTGTTTTAAATGTAATTAATCAAAATGCAAAGCAAGTGGAAAATAAGGAACATCTCTGGAGAATGTGGAGCATTATAGTCACACCTTTAACTGAATTCATTAATCAGGTATGATATGTCTGCTACATAATTTTCCTTCAAATTTGTAAAAATATTTTCCCTTATTACAGCAGTTTAGAAAATGAATAAAGTTTGAATAGAAAAAATAAAGTGGTTTTACTTTTTTTTTTTTTTTTGGCCCTGGCGATGGAAATTGAGTCCTTGCCTTGTGCTTATGGGGCAGGCGGCGGAACCACTGAGCTAAATCCCCGGCGTGAAGTGGTTTTACTTTTGCAATTAGTAAATTTTCTACTCTTTGGATTGATTTCATTGCATTCTCTTTGTTTCATTGCATTTCCACCTTACTAAGGTAATAGGGATTACAAAGCTCCATATTTTTCAGTAAGGATTGTAAAAACTACAAGCCTTACATATGATGCATATGAACTTTTATGTTTGAGTCCTATTTGTAATTGTGAATAGGCTGTATATTGTTATGCCAAAGCCATGGTATCTTAAAACCATTTAACGTTACCGTAAGTCAAGAATGTATCAAGAGTTGGCTGTTTTATCTTTAAATACTTTTAGAAGGTGTCAATATTGACGGAACATGAAACACAGGTTCTGTATGTATGGACGGATTCTGTGGGCTGATTCCATTGTAACTCAAGAGAATGAAACTTCAGTTTGGTGGTCCATGCCCACGCCCTACATTGCTGGGGACTGAACCCAGGCGTTTGCCCAGTCTTGGGCAAACTCGCTATCACTGAGCTGCATTCCTAGCCCACCATAGCTTTTACGTTACAGTGATACAGACTAATTCAACTAGCACATACTAATCAACATATTTTTCTGGAATTAAAACAATTTACATTTATAAAAGACCTCTTAGGAGAACAAAGACCCTTTATAAGTCCTTACTTGATTGTGTAAGATTTGGGGAGTTAATTCTGGGATTATTTTTTAGGATTTAAATTCCATGTATTAGCTCTCTGGTTTAATAAATTACTACAAATTGGTAATTAAAACATGCAAGAATATATGTTTTTAATTTAATTTTTGTTGATGCTGGAAGATGAAGCCAAGTGCTGTACCACAGAGCTGTATCCACAGCCCCAACAACATGAATTTATTGTCCCGGTTCTGGAAGTCCAAAATAGAATGTATCGGGTAGGATTGTTTCCTTCTGGACTCTGAGGAAGAATCTGTGCCATTCCTCTGTGTCTGATTATCGCTGGCAAGGCCATCCCCGACCTTTCTTTTTGCAGCAGGATCTTGATCTGTAGTGCAGACTGGGTTCAAACTTAGGATCCCTCTGCCTTACCCTCCTAAGTGCTGGGATTAACAGTTGTGCACCCTCATGGCCAAAAAACTTCATCTTTTTAAAAATTTTTTTTCACCCTTTGCTCTTTTTTGTGGGAGGGGGGTGGTTGTGGTGGTACTGGGGATTGAACACAGCATTCATACTGCACTATATCCACCTTTTAAAATTATTTTATTATTTTAATTTTATTTTGAATCTCACTAAATGAGTGATGGCAAAACTTTTAGAGACCGAGTGCCCAAATTGCAAACCAAAACCCACTTATTTATTGCAGAGTGCCAATACTGCACCTGATAGCTGATACTCTGCTGCTGGAGTGACTTGGCTCGAATGGCAACAGAGCGCTCTGGTGCCTGCTGTAACACACAGGCCATTGGTTGGCCTCCATTGTGCTAAATTGTATGGGCTGGGATTGAATCTGTGAACCTCCTTTCTCCAGAGTGCTGGATTTACAGGAGCACATCTGGCTGCTCTGACTTTTCAGACACATCATTTCAGTCTCTGCCTATGTCTTCACATAGTATCCCTCCTTATGTCTTCTGTGTGCCTCTCCACATTTTTCATCTCCTACAGTACAAATGCACCATTTGGTGGATACAGGCCCACCCAAATTTTATATTTGTAAAGATTTTAGCCAGGCATTGATGGTACATGTCGGCAGTCCCAATATTCTGAGCATCTGAAACAGGATTGCAGGTTTGAAACCAGCCTCTTGTGCGACTTAATAAGCCCTTGTCTCAAAAAAGAAAAAACCCCACTGGGGATGTAGCTCAGTGTGAAGGCCCCGTGTCCAATCTCCTACAGCAAGAAAGAAAGTTAAGTGTGTTTTCAGGTAAGGTTATACATATTCCCAGGTATCAAGAAGTGGGAGTTTGATATCTCTTGAATATGTTAAGATTGTGAGATGTAATTCTCACAATCTTGCATGTTACCTGCATTATGTTATTATGTAGGATTAGAATTAATGGTAATTTGTCTATTGTTTTTCTTATTTCAGACCAATGAAGTAAATCAAGGTGATGCCTTAGAACATAATTTTAGTGCCATCTATAGTGCATTGGCTTTACCAATACATCATATTTTTGCAGTACAGAGATTGCCTGTGGTAAGGCCATATCAAGTTTTTATGTATAAGAATTTATACTTTCTGAAAATACTGCATTTCATCCTTTATAATGAGCTACAGTAGTAGTTTTTCCTTAAATAAGACTAGTGTGACTTAATTAGCACAGGTGGAAGTTAAAAGAATTTCTTTTTACCTTTGATTGCTGGTACTGTGGTATTACTTCATATCTGAAGTAACTTTTTGGGGAGAGTGGGTAAGGCTGTTAGACTCTTATGATACTTTAGATGTTACACTGTTGTTAAAAATCTAAAGGTATGTTGATTCGACTAGGTTTTTTGATACACAAGTATGCACATAAAACTTTTATTATTACTAGGTGACGATGAAGGCTTTACTTCAAACTTGGTCAGAATTATATAGAGTATTTGCTCGCTGTGCTGCTTTGGTGGCAACAGCAGAAGAGAATTTGTGTTGTGAAGAACTTTCTTCTAAGATAATGTCCATTTTGGATGATGAAGCCTTTTTGGTGAGTTTGTCCTGATATTGAACTCTTGTATTTAAAGAATTCTTTTTAAGGGAAGTAACATTTCTGAATGATCATTTACTGACGCTTTTATAAGAGATCAAGTTAATATAGAAAACAGTAAAACTTTGTGCAACCATTTAGGTCAGTGTTTTAGAACTGTTAAGAGTAAAGTTCTTGGGCCAGGGATTTACCTCAGTGATCCCCAGTACCAAAAAAAAAAAATAGATTATTTAAAAAGTAAAGTTCTTTTACTTTTTTGTTGTATTCCTCCTTGTGCTTATGGCATAGCACATAAGGAATACCAGACTGTTGCTTTCTTGGACCTCATTTTCTCATCTGTTTGCTCTTTAAAGTCAATCTTGAATGTTTATAGTGTTTTGTTTTCTTTATTTTTTTGAGACATGGTCTTGATATGTAGCTCAGGCTGGCCTTTACTCTTGGCAGTCCTGTTTTAGTCTACCAAGTGCTGGTATTATAGGCATGTGCCACCTTGCCCAACTACCAAGACTATCGTTATTGCTGTGCTCAATAATTATATTCTTTTTGTATCACCAGATGACTTTGAAGAGATTTTTGTTTTACTTTTTAATTTTATTTTAATTAATTAATTTTTTTTTGGTACTGGAGATTGAACTTAGGTCCTTGCTCTTGCGCAGCAGGTGGCGAAACCACTGAGCTAAATCCCCGGCCTGTTTATTTATTTTTTGTAGTCCAAGCTGTCCTGGAAGGACAATCCTCCTGCCTCAGCCTCCCAAGTGCTGGGATTACGGGCATGCACCATCATATCCAGCTATTTGTTTTCTTTTGTTGTGTTGTTTTTTTGTTTTTGCAGTTCTGGGATTTGAACTCTGGCCTCATGTATGCTCAGTGAGCACACTCATTGAACTACATCTGCAGCTCTTTTTTTGTTTTTGTTTTTTGTGGGTAGTTACTGCTGTAAGCTCATAGAATCTCCAGTCCTTCTTATTTTGAGTATACAATTTGTATGCCTTAAGCTGAATAGTGGATCTCTGGAACTTATTCATAACATGTAACTGAGTCTTTGTGCTCATCGTCTGATGCCACCTCACTTACCCCTTCCCTCAGCTCTGGCCAACCACCATTCTTTCGATGTGTTCCAGCGTTTTAGATTCTTCATATAAGTGGTATTCATCCTTTATCTGGCTTATTTCATTTAGAATCATGTCCTTTACCGTCACTCATGTTCTTGCAAGTAGAAGGATTTTTCTTTTTTGAAGGTGACCAGTAGCCACTTTATATAATACTACACATTCTTTATTCATTCTTTGTGGGCATAGATTATTTCTGATTCTTGACTATTAAGAATAATGTCACAGGCAATAAGGGAGTGCAGATGCCTCTTCAGAATGCTTCATTCATTCCTTCAATATATAGTCAGAAGTGGGATTAGTGAACCATATGGTATTTAATTTATTTATTTATTTTTAGTACCAGAGATCGAACTCAGGACCTTGTGCTTGCGAGGCAGCCGGTACAACCACTGAGCTAAATCCCCAGCCCGAATTTTAATGAAGACATTGACAATTGACCCAGTCTTGACATCTGCACGCACCCCCCCCCCCCTTTTTTCTTGATATGGATTCTGTGTTACCCAAGCTGTCCTTTCAATTTCTGGGCTCAAGTGATCCTCTTACTTCACCCTCGCAGGTAGTGGGTACTACAGACAGATGCAGGCCATTGTGCCCAGATTCCGGATTGGTTTAATTTTTTAGAGTTTAAATTTTAATTTTTGAGGAGCTAGTACTGTACTATATGGTTTCATTTTTGTGACTTTGCAGTGTATCTTAAGTCAGGGAGCAAGATGGCTCCTGATTTGTTGTATTCTCACACAAGATTGCTCTGGTTATTCAGAATCTTGAGTGTTTATCTAAAATGCTGTTGAGATACCAGTATAAATTTCATCGAATCTGTAGAGATTGCCTGGGGTAGTATGGACATTTTAGCAATATTTTTCCAGTAATTGGACATGGTATTCTTTTCATGTCACACAGTTGTGCAGTTAAATTACTGAATTATTATAGTTTATGTGGTTGCAGTATGGAGTTTAGCACTAAGCCTTTTCTTTCTTGCTTGCTCTTTGGGTAGCAGTTTGTTCTCTCATAAATTTTAGGATTATTCTGTTCCCTTTGGAATTTGAACATTTTACTAGTGTGTTTTAAGGATTTAGCGAACCTTTTTGGTCTAAAGAGCTATACCTTTAGCTCAGGAAAAAGATTTAGTGCTCTTCATTTTTTTTCTGAGTAATATTTTGGATAGTTTTTTATTTTTCTTTATTTTTTTTGGTACCAGGGATCAAACTCAGGTCCTTCCGCTTTCGAGGCAGGTGGCGGAACCACTGAGCTAAGTCCCCGGCCCTTGGATAGTGTTTTAGTCTGTCTTGTGTCATTTACTCTCTCTATATCAGTGGGGGTTTTTTGTGGGTTTTTTTTTTTGTAACTGCTTCCCATTCCTTTGTGGATAAATATTGAGGTATGGGGCTGGGGATTTAGCTCAGTGGTTCCGGCGCCTGCCTCGAAAGCACACGGTCCCCAGTTCAATCCCTGGTACCAAAAAAAAAAGCAATCAGTTACATTTAGGAGGAGGAAATAGTATGGAGGATCTTAGCAACTTTTTTGTTGTACCTCTTGTCTCCATTGAGTTTAATGAATAATCTTGTAATTTTCAAGATGAGTTTGATAAAGAATCTAATTATGAGGGTTAGAGATACAGCTTAGCATTAGAGTGCTTATATAGTACGCATGAGGCCCTGAGTTTGACCCCCGCATGCCCAAAAGAAAAAAAAGTAACTATAAGTCTTGCACTTGTCTTCTGAACTTCAGGTAGATATGATGAGTTTTTTTGCTTTTTGAGACAGGGTCTTGCTATGTAGTTCAGGCTGACCTTAAACTCACTAATTAGCCCAGGCTGGCCTCAAACTCCCTGCCAATCCTCCTGCCTCAGCCTCCTAAGTGCTAGGATTACAGATGCACAGCACACTCCTGGCCAATAGGATGAGTTTTATGGGCATCATAAAGATAAATTGTTTTTCCTGAATGTTAAGGAACATAAATTATAGTATTTGGCACATAGTAGTTAACTGGGAAATGTGTATAGCCATAGTTTTACTTTATTTGAGGAAATCTATGAAATGTGTGGTTGTTTTATGGTATTTGTGGGAATAAGTGTTCTTCTTTCTTGTTGCTAATTTTTGTTGAATACTGTGATCATGTTTAAAGTTTCTAATTATGGTACTTTTCTTGCGTAGAATTTGTGGTTCTTGGACAGGATCATTCATATTATTACTGTAATAGTGGATTGCATTGACTTTTCACCATATAATACTAAATATCAGCGCAAAGTTAAATGTAAGTATCTTCTATTTGTTCATCCAGTATTTCATAAATACAGTACTACTGAATAGTTGTCAGGAAAATCCTATCTTCCTGCTGCACGCACGTGCATATAGACACACACAGATTTTTACAATAAAGAGCAAAATGTCCTAATTACATAAATTATTTCATAATACAGGTGATTTTTCTCATTCCTTCAGATATGAAACTTGTTATTCCTTAAGAAATATTTCTATTTAGATAAGAACCAAAAGAGATTATGTAAAGGTGCAGATTTCCAATGAGGAATGTCATTATATTGTATACCTAAAATGGTACCAATGATTAGAATGAATAATCAATAATGCAAAATAGGAAGAAAAGGTCCAAAGGGGTAGGGTTAGTGGGAGGGGCAGGGGAAAGGAAAGAAGGGAAAGGAAAAATGATGCGTAATGGAAAAAATGGAAATAAAGTCTTTGTAAATAGGGAAGGGTGGAGGGGGTGAAGGGAGGGCTAGGAATGGGGAAAAAATAAGAACCAAGACGCATCATGTAAAGGTAGAAGTTCCCAATGAGAAATGTAATTGTGTTGTATACCTAAAATGTACCAATAAAAGACTTTAAGAAAAAAAGAAATATGTCTATTTGGAAATCTAATTTGAAAATTGAATTAAAATTAAAATTGAAAAAAATCATGAAATCAGTTAATTGGTTATGATTTTACAGGAAAGTTAAAATCTCTAAAAAGTTAAGTGAGGTTCTTTTGAGATAGGTTCTTGCTATGTAGCTCAGGCTGCCCTTCAACTCAGCTGCGATCCTCCTTCCTCAGCCTCCCAAGTTAATCTGCCCAGCCAGATTAACTGAGTTTTTACCATTTTAGTTAAGTTTGGTAAGTTGGGATTGTAATAAGCTGGTTTGAAAAACTACATTTCATGGTTGATTTTTGTAATAAATGTCACAGTGAGCTATTTTAATCTAATAATTGATTCTTTTAAATACATCTGTTTTTATATGTTCTTAAATAGAAAGTGATTACCTGCCATTAATAAATACGCAAGTTGGTGTTGAGATTTATTTTTTCTATTTAAAAAATAATTTCTCACTAGAAGGATTGGTCACTGATGATTTATAAAACATACTTCAGATACTTTCAGAACTCTTCATGTGTGTGGCTTTTCACTTATTACTAGATAGAATAATAGAAATAGGGCTGGGTATTTAGCTCAGTGGTTCTGCCGCTTGCCTTGCAAGTGCAAGGACCCGAGTTTGATCCCTGGTACGAAAAAAAAAAAAAAAAAAGAATAATAGAAATACCATGTTACACAGATGCTTGAAATAAATTTCAGCTGTCCCTTTGGGTTAAGTAGGACATAGTTTGATCACCTCACTTTGTCAGAAAACTAATTTCTGAATATCAGAACTTTAAAAACAATACCAGAGATTATTTTGTGAGTTATTGATGTGCTATAGGGCCTAGATAATCGACTCATATTTACATACTATTACCCATGTTGGTACTTCTGACAAATTAGATCTAACTGCATATCAAATCCATGGTCTACCCTGGCGTGGTGGTGCACGCCCGTAAACCCAGGACTCAGGAGGCAAAGGCAGAAGGATCACTGAGTTTAAAGCCGTCCTGGGCTACGTAGTGAGTTCAAAGCCAGCCTGAACTACATAGTGAGACCCTGTCTCCAAAAAAAAAAAAAAACAGAAAAAAAATAATCCGTGGTCTGTAAACCTTGTTAGAATTGTCTCTTGTGTTTTTTACTCTTATCTAGAACAGCCAGAGATCGTCCATAGGTATTTATTGTGCACTAGTAGGCACTAGTCATTTACAGATATAGGTGACTAGATCAAGTAAGGTGTATAGGCTCCCATGTTTCCTGTGGAAGTTTTATCAGGATAATATTATTCAATGGCCTGTAATTAGTATTATTCATTGTAGTGCCCAAAGGTCCCAAATTTAGGCATTAGGCTTGCCCTCAAGGTGTCTCATAACCTTTTGATACATCCACATTATTCTTTTGACAGTACCAACATAATATACTTAGCCTTGTACTTTCCCAGCAGCCTGGAATCAGCCATTTCTCCAGGGAACATGGTTCCTTTGAGCTGAGACTGGCAGTTTGAAACCAAATTTTATTAATTGCTACTCCAAATCCTCTTAAGTGGACAAAGCTGGGAATTTGGAATGTGTCATCTATTACTCTGAGGGTTTTTTTGGGTACAGGGTTAGAACTCACGACCTTGCACAATGAAGGCATGATGCCACTGAGCTAAATCCCCAGCCTTTGGTTTGATTTTTTGAGACAGGTAGTTTAGGCTGGACTTGAACTTGTGGCAATCCTCCTGCCTCAGCCTCTTGAGTGGTGGGATAACAGGCATGCGCCACCATCCCTGGCCAAGATAGTTTTTTTGAACCAAGGAAATATGTAGTAAAGTTTCTTTGCATTTTATTGCTCAGGGTTTGGATCTCAGATCTGTTAGAATATTTTTGTGGGAACTAGTGTACTAAAGATGAATCAGGAAATAGTAATTTCTAATGGAAATTTTTATTTTGAAAACTTAAATTTAACTGTGGGGCTTGTCTTAAATGTGGTTTAATATTTTTTATGAAGTAGTTGAAATGATGAAAAACAAAAATTTCAAATTTTACAGTTTCTCAGGGAAAAATGGAATCATTTTTGTTATTTTTGCCAAATAGTTTTTCCATTGTCTCTGGTTTTCATTTGTGAAGATAATATTTTATTGGTATATATTTGTTAATGGTATTTTGTTTTAAGGTTTGTTTGGAATGTCAGTTAAAAGCATATATTTAACGTATCATATTTAAGTGATATATTAAGGTAGGCATTGACATTTTTCAAAGTAATTAAGTTTTCAATTTATATCTTAGCACCACAGAGATCTTCAGATTGGGCCAAAAAGAAGAAAGACCCCCTAGGAAAATTGGCCTCTTTAGTTAAACTTATTGTAAGAGTCATCTGTTCTTTCCACACTTTGAGCTTCAAGGAAGCACATTCTGATGCGCTACTTGGTGTCGGCAACTCAATCATTAGCATGATTTCCAATCTACTTGGACATATTTCTTTGCCTTCTGTGATTCGAAAAATATTTGCAGTATTAACAAGACCCTTGGCATTGTTTTATGAAAACTCCAAGTAAGTATTTTGGACTTCTTTTGAATTAAATGTATGCAGTGATAAGGGTGTTTTCTTGTCAGCTTTCCTCTGCATGATAATTGTGATAGTTTAATTGAAAATAAAATTCTTTGTTAAAAAGGTAGATCAAATGGTAATCTGTGGTAGAAATTGGAAGTCCTTTATTTTTTCTGCTTATACCCGTCGTCCTTTTCAGTTTGGTGTGTTTTTTTCAGAATTGCTTTTACAAATACGCATACTTACTAAATTTTGTAGTTTCTCAGGGAAAACAAAAAGGAAAAATAATAAAATAACAGATAAGGAAACATACTTGACATGCTACTCTGCAATTAGGTATATGGTAGGCACTTAATATGTTGTCTGTATTTTGCACCATTAATGTAAGGATCTCATTGTCTAAAGCATCTGCATAGGATTTCATTATACTTTTCACCTAGTTTTGATAGGTGGATATGCATGGTTTTCCAGCACTTTTGCTTTACAAGTGAACATTATATGTACAAAAATTAGTGCTTGCGTTGACCACTTTCTGAAAAACAGCATTTTCTTTTCATTTTTAAAATATATTTTATTGTCTATTAATTTTACAAAGTATTGGGTTTCATTGTACCATTTTGATACATGCATAAAAAATTTCATCACACCTATTTCCCTCCTTTATTTGTATACATCCCTCTTATTTCCTTCTTGTTGTCTCTAGAACAAGATTCTTTAAATATGTGCATTTAAAGTTTAGAATTAACCTCCCAAAGTATGAATTACTACTTTTACATTTAAAGTAACTAGTGCCCTAGAATCTGCAGAAATCCCAAGTAACATTTTGAAAGAAATCCTCAGTATTCTTTTTAGCAAACTTGTATGGTTTAATTGTAATAATTTTCCTTTTGTAAATTAAATTCATGGAGGGCTGGGGATTTAGCCCAGTGGTGCTGAGCCTGCCTGGCAAGTGTAAGGTCCTGAGTTTGATTCCAGGTGCCAAAAAATAAATTCATGGGAATAATTTTTTTCCCCCTGGTACTGGGGATCGAACTCAGGACCTTGCACTTTAGAGGCATGGAAACTGTGCCATGATACATTTTACTACATTGGCAAATTTTAGTCTTTATTTCATCAAGAATAATTTATGCTTTTAAAGCATTCAAAAAGTAGCACTGTGTGAACACTTACTTATGTTGTAGATTGTTTTCTATGGTTTATTTTCCAAAGGTGGGTTTGTTTGATGCTTAGTGTTTGCCAATTTGCATTTTGCTTGCTTCCTTGGGACCATGTGTATATATACCTTGTGATTTTATGGCTGTATCACTTAATTTTTAGGTTTAGCTTAATAGGTAGTAGTGTCAACTTCCTAAAATACAAATGGTACTATATTTTATGTGCTTTTCTTCCCAGGCTTGATGAAGTTCCTAAAGTGTATAGTTCTCTGAACAACAAGGTAAAAATAGACCATTGTTTATAAAACATACTTTTTATGATGAGAAAATGGGTTTAGATAATCCCCTTCCTTGAAGATAATTCTGATTTTTTTTAATGAGTGATAGTACGGTTTTTAATGGGCGTTTAATAATATGATATGGATACATTCACAGATAGCTTTTTGAGAAAGAGATCATTATTATTTTGAAATTATATTAGTCATTAAGTCCTGTCTCATGTCTTTATGTATGAGCATTGGCCTCCAAAGATATATATTTGAAAGTTAGGCAGTCATTACTGTTATAATAAATATAAAACCTTTTTTTTCTTTGGTATGGGGGATGGAACTCAGGACCTTTTGTTTGCGAGGCAGGCAGTGGAACCAGTGAGCTAAATCCCTGGCCTTAAAACCTTTTTTTTTTTTTAAGTGGAGAATAAACTCAAAATCAAGCTAGAGTATCAATAAAGTAAATTTACCTGATAGTTTGACAACTTAATAGAGAGGGATGTATATTACCTTGACCATGGAGACTTGATTAAAATCATTCACTTATTAAACATTGAAGTAGCAACATACACTTTGACTTGATGTTTAGTATACTTTTTGCTTTTGTTCTTTCCCTTTTCCTAGTTAGAAAAGCTACTAGGAGAAATTATTACTTGTCTACAGTCCTGCGCTGGCACTTATGACAGTGAACTTCTTGAACAGCTCTCCCCACTGTTATGCATAATATTTCTGCACAAGAATAAACAGATTCGAAAGCAGAGTGCTCAGTTCTGGAATGCTACATTTGCTAAAGTGATGACGTTGAACTATCCTGAAGAGTTAAAGTATGCTAACAAAACTTTTGTACAACTATTCTGTATAACAATGTGAACTGGTATTTTGGTTTTTTTTTTTTTTTGGTACTGGGGATCGAACTCGGGTCCTTGTGTATGTGCAGCAGGCGGCGAAACTGGTATTTTGGTTTTAACATCAGCTTTCTTAGGTCAGTTACAGAGAATTTTTTAATTGAACTATTATAATCTCTGGTAATTAACATTGTAAACTATTGGGGGGCTTAAAGTAATTTGATTTTTTGGAACCCATGAAAGCAATTTAAAATTATCCTTAATAGACAAGAGGAGCATTGATGATAATTAAAGCTCAACATGGGTACTTACTGTAATATTTTACTTCTATGTGAAATTTTGCAAGATAAAAACATTTTGAAAAATTTTTAAAGAAAGTAGAAACTCTGAAAAGAGGATAATTCATATATTGTCTGATTTCTCCTACTTTTGTATATGTTAGTAGTCTTTAGGGCAGTTACATTTTGCTCCTTGAAAAATTAAAATAAATGCTCCAGTTAACATCACAAGTACTCACCAATACCCTTCACTCAAATGTATATATGTTTATATATTTTTTTAAAGACCAGTACTAAGAGAAGCCAAACAAAAAGTTTTACTTCTGTTGCCTGGTTTGGAAAATGTTGAAATAATAGAGGAATCCAGTGGATCATATTCAGATGCAGTAAGATTTGTTTTGCTTTGTTTTGTTTTTAAATTTTTGATCGATGCCTGAAGTTTATTAAGTAATAAATAGACTCTGAATAAATGAGTTCCACATGATTTTAAAATAATATAAATTTATAAATATGTATATATGTACACACATGGTTTATGAGTTAAGGGCAAAAATCTTCACTGGAGATTATGATAAACTTGAACTCAGGACTTTATATGCACTATTTTACAAACTTAATGAATATTGCTTTGGAAAAAACTAGAAATACTAGTCCACTCCTAAGTTACAACTACATTTTATTTTCTCATTTCCTTATATCTAACTTCTGACGGAAAAACAGTCCTTGCCGTCACAATCACCCATTAGAGCAGGAGTTGCTTTGACTAATACTTGATTACTATCTGGAGATCTAGGAGTTGAGAGGAGTAAAGGCATTGAAGTGTGGTGCATCCTTAGTGTTTTTTTTTTTTATACAGCAACAGATGATATATAGCCAATCAGTGCCCCCCGCCCCGCCCCCCCCCCCCCATTTGTGGTGCTGGGGATTGAATCCAGGGCTTCATATTTACAACTGAGTTATGCCCCCTCTCTTTTTTAATTTGAAGAAGGATCTCACTAAGTCTCCTTGGCTGGCTTTGACATTGTGATCTTCTTGTCTCTGCCTTTTTTTTGTTTGTTTGTTTAGGTACCAGGGATCGAACTCGGGTCCTTGCGCTTGCGCAGCAGGTGGCGAAACCACTGAGCTAAATCCCTGGCCCTTCTGCCTCTGAGTAGCTGAGATAGCCATGCCCCACCAGATTGGGTTTATAGCTTTTTTGTGTAAAATCAGAAAAAGAAAAAGTAGTGATAGATAAGTTCTGTTTTGTTTTGCTAAATAAAAATTCTTACCAGATCAAATGAGTTAGTTTTATATTGGTTCAGTGTAATTCAGACTGTGCCATATATTCTGGTGTCGGAAAATGTGTTTGGTATATTAATATTCTCTATCATACGTACTTGCGTGTCTACCTACACTCCTCCCTCTTTCCTTCCCTCCCTCCCAATGCCTACAACATACTGTGCAAGCATTCTGCCGCTGAGCTGTATTAACCCTCTATTTTTGTTGGTTTGCGATAGTCTTGCTAAGTAGCCAGGCTGGCCATAAATTCCAGATCCTCCTGTCTTAGCCTCCCAAATACTGGGATTACAAGTGTTCATCAGCACACCTGGCTTTTCTTTTTTTTGGTACCGGGGATCGAACTCGGGTCCTTGAGCTTGCGAGGCAGGCAGCAGAACCACTGAGCTAAATCCCCAGCCCTCACCTGGCTTTTCTTTATTCTTTAATGTTGAAAGTTTTATAGCTTTTATTTTCCTCTTAGAAATAGTTCCAGTAATAGGTACAGTCATTAATTCCACTGATAGGGTTAACTTTACAGTATTTGCATAATACATCTTGATTTCAGAATTCATACAAGTTAAACTATGAAACAGATATAGAAGTTAAGACACGTTCTCTTGCGTCTTGGACAGTTTTCAACAGGCTGAATAGTAAGAAATTTCACATGTGAAATGAGTATTCAGTAGACTGGAATTTTCAAAACATGAAAAGCAAATTATGCTTAATAACATTGTTCTATTTTTCATTAAACAGACAGAAAATTCACAATTAAACATGAAGATAAGTGGTGTGGAAAGAAAATCAAATGGAAAAAGGGATTCTTTTTTGGCACAAACAAAGGAAAAACAAGAAAATATGAAGCCATCTGCCAAAGTATGTTTTCAGAAATGTATTTAATAGAATTTTTAAAATAAAGTACATGGTAATTTATGGATATACAACTTCAAAGTGGAACAATAAGTTGTAACCATTTTGAAAAAGACGGTCTTGGAGTGAGAGTTTAGAAAGAATGCCAGGATAGCCTTGTGTGTCCATTCCTTCCTAGTTATTTTTGTTGGTCTCCTGTTCCCCAGGCTTGAACCCAGGGTCTCACACATGCTGCACAAACACTTTACCACTGATTCTTGATTCTTGGGGGATGGGGGGTCATACCGGGGATTGAACTTTGGTCTTTGTGCTTGCAAGGCAGGCAGCAGGTGGCAGAACCACTGAGCTAAATCCCCAGCCCTTGATTCTTAATAATAGTGATTTTATGTGGTACTTTTGTTCATGCTTTATACTTTCTATTCTGGGCAGTTTCTTCCTTGCAATAGGATATGTCTGGGTATGAATGACTAACATAGTAGCATATAAGAATATTTCAGAGGTTTAATTTAGAGCTATTTTTGTAGAATTTAATATTTTGAATAGAAATAGAACTAGTGCCTAGGCAAGACTTCTTTCTATTTTAAACTCATATCAAAAAATATGTCTAGTTGTCAGTTACTTTCTGGCAATAGTTCTCTTTCATGACCTTCAAACAATAAGGTTTATTCTAGGATTTTGAAATTGAGACCCTGGTAAAATAAAAGGAAAATATTTCAAAGATTGATACATTCTTGTAGCTAGCAGAATAGAATGAAAAGAATGATTGTCATGAAAATTTATATAAAATTACAGTATAATACTAAAGTTACTGTTGTGTAGGATATACTGTATTCTCATCTTGACTAGTTCATTGATTCACCTTGAGAATTAAACTGTATTTCCTCTTTCCAAACTAGTTTGTTTTCTGTGTTATCATAAAAATGTAATTTACCCATGCTTTGTAGTCAAGCACAGATGTGTTTCCTTTTTAAGGACACTTAATGGACTAAAAACAAGGACATTATAGAAATTTGGTTTGATTGTTGTATGCACTTGAACCTCAAACTTAAAATTGTTGTTGTAAAACTATCAGCATTACAAAAGCAATAGAAATTTTGGGAAATAATTTGGAAAATAAAATGTATTTTTTAAAAAATCTGCAGCTGAAACGAGAATCTTCATCTCCAAAAGTAAAGAGGGAAATGCTTTTGGAAGAAGAAAAGTCTACTGATTTTGTGTTTATACCTCCAGAAGGAAAAGAATTAAAGGAAAGAATACTAACTGAACACCAAAAAGAAGTACTCAAGACAAAGCGGTCTGTAGGCCTTTGCTCATAAATTGGGTATTCTATATTGATGCTTAAGTTTCATGCAGCAGATTATAACTTTGTTGTCAAGACTAAGATACTGTATATACTTGTGCTTTTGTGGTGCTGGGGATCAAACCTAGGATCTTACACATACTAAGCAAATGCTTTGCTATCCCTGAGCTATATGCCCAGCCCCCGTTACACTAAATTTTAAGGATAAAAGATATATTATGCGTAACTGGATTTCATAATATAAAGCTACATAGTAGCTTCCCTAATGTCTGTAAACTGAATTTCTTTGCTGAGATAGGTTAGAAGGGAAGATGATTTACTGGAAAATAACCACTTGGGTCTTGATTTTTATTTTTTAATAAAATATAATAAAATTGTAATTTTTGAGTGTGTTGTATAGGAATGTTGAACCCAGAGTCTTTGCACTGAACTATACCCAGCCCTTTTGTTTTTTAGGGAAGGTCTCACTATATAGTTCAGGTTGGTTAGGAACTCCCTGTGTAACACAGCCTGGCCTCGAACTTGTAGGATACTCCTGCCTCGGCCTCCCAAGTGCTGGGATTACAGGCATGTGCCACCATACCCAGCACCCCCAGCGCTTTTAATATTTTCATTGTAAGACCGGCTTTGGCTAAGTTGCCCAGGCTAGGGTCAAACTTGGTACCTCCTGCCTCACCCTCCCTGAGTGCTGGGATTATAGGTATGCATTACCACGGCCAGCATTATAAATTAAATTGAACCTAGGACCTTAACAATGAGACATATCCTCAGCCTTTTGTATTTTCTTATTTTGAAACAGGGCCGAGATTCGAATTTAGGATTCTCCTGCCCCAGCCTCCCAGAGTGCTGAGGGTATGGCCATATACTACCATACCTGGCTTACAGAGTTTTGAAGTTCTATAAAATGTTTTTCAGGTGTGATATTCCTGCCATGTATAATAATCTGGATGTTTCACAAGATACCTTATTTTCTGATCACTATAGTCAAGAAGAGTCTGTGTAAGTGTTGAAGCCATCAAACTTAAAACTAGTTTTCTAATTTTTTTAAATAACTATAAGTAATCTAATTTATTCCATTATTTATCTCAGGCAAACTCCTACTTTAACTGAAAAACCAAAGGAAGATACCAAGATGGTGATTAAGGTATATTCTGTATTTCAGTTTTCAGGGTTTTTGAATCATTGTTCCATTATGGATTCCCTTAAATTGCCAGAAGATTTTATAGTAGGTCTTCTTTTTAGTAATTTTAAATTTTTATCGTAGAGTCTCCTCCTAACTCCCAGTTGTGCTGTAACAGAATTGTCCTGTGTGTCTATTTAAAATAGACATATGTGGCTTTTATTGAATATTTGTAATTAGGAATAGACTAGCAGACACCTGCTATTATTTTTGGAATATTTGCAATGTATTGAAGACACTTGTCTTTTCAAGTACCAAAATTCTGCACTTAAATTTCCCTAGAAAGTCACATTTGTTTGCTGGTTAATCTATGTGTGTATATATACATATACACATACATATATATATATATGTGTGTGTGTGTGTGTGTTGTGTGTATTCTGTGCAGGAGGAACAAATGAAGAGTGATACTGTTATTCAAGATGCCTTGGAAAACTGTGGTATGGATGAACATATCGAAAAGCCTTCTTTTTCAAATAATGAGTGTGGTTTTGTTCCCAAAACCAATCCAGAAATACTGAGCAGTAATAACAAAGCCAGAAAAAACACTTTAATTTCATCAAAGAAAACTTCAACTGAATGTACATCTAGTGCAGAAAATTCATTACCCAGCAGTCGATCAGTTTCTGATGCCAGTATTTCTGGAACTCACCCACAGCCTACAAGTCGGAGGCAAAGCTTTATTACCTTGGAGAAGTTTGATGGTTCAGATAATAGACCTTTCAGCCCATCCTCCTTGGGTAATATGTCTTCAGATATTTCAGTGCAAAATAACTGTGAAAATGTGACTACAACAGATAGTACACCAAAAACAAAGAAGAGAGAAGTGATGCATTCAAAATCTGATTCTGAAAAAATACTGAATGGAGTTAAGCGATCAAGCAGAAGATTGAGTAAAGCTGAGAGGGCAGCAAATAAAAGATCAAAACCCTTGATAAAATCTGAACAGGAGGAAAATAATCAAGAACCTGTTGAAGGGACAATAGCTTTAGAAAATATTAACTCACCTGATTTGCATAATCAAACAGAATGTTTGTCAGATGGTCAGGTTCATTTTTCTGAATCTGTTGGGGAGCATGAAGATAAGCCTAAACCAACAGTAGAAAATGCTGTGTTATTGGAAACCAGTACTGTCCAAGAGAAAAACATGGGGGTTAATTTAGAATCCAAAGAAAATACACCTCCAGCAGTGACTCCAGCAGATGAAGTGGTTAATGAAGAAAGTCAAGTTCAGGTAACTCCAAATCAAAAAACCCTGAGACGGTCTTCAAGGCGACGTTCAGAAATAACAGACTGTATTGGTGATAACCAAGATAAAGAAAATAGTCATCAAAAAAGGGAAAGACGTAAGGAAGAGGAAAAACCTCAGAGTTTATTGCATGTGTCACCTAAGCAGAAACTGACTTCTGAACAAACAGAACAGGACAAATTACTTGAGAAAGAAAATAATTTACATGAGAAGGCTTCTGGTGAAACCAGTGCTAATGCTGACATTGACCAAAATAAAAGAAAACCAGACCTTGAAAATGTTAATTCTGAGGGTGATAGTGCCCTGGACATTGTAGATAAGTCCTCTGAGAAACCTTTAAGAGGCCGAACACGTTATCAAACAAGAAGAGCATCTCAGGGTTTACTTTCCAGCATTGAAAATTCAGAATCTGATAGTTCTGAGGCAAAAGAAGAAGGTTCTAGGAAGAAGAGATCTGGAAAATTGAAAAACAAAAACAATGACAGTGTTAATATTGAAGAACAAGAAAAAATGGTAGAAAAGGAATCTCTAAATGTAGAGAATCACACACAGGATCATAAAGCAACTTCTGAAGTAGATGTAGACAAAAAGCCTCCGGTTTGTGAAAAAGATGCAAGTAGTCCTGAAATACTTCAGGATTCTACAGCAGCTACAGATACTTTACAAGTTTCTGATGTTGTGCCAAATACATATGAGGGAAACGCTAAGACTAGCAAATGTGCAGAGTATACCTTTGCAAGTTCACCTATGCCAGAATCAAATTTAAGGACTAGAAATGCAAGTAAGAGATTGCTTAAGCGAGATTCTGGTAACAGTGTGGGAGAATGTTCCAAAACTAGGACATCAGAAATTTCTGTGCTTTCTGAAAAAAATGTGCAGACATTTGAATGCCAGCATAAGAGAAGTCGGAGGGTGAGGCGATCTAAAGGTTGTGACTGCTGTGGGGAAAAATCTCAACTTCAGGAAAAGTCATCCATTGGGTTAAAGAACACAGAAAATTTTGACATAAAGAGTAACGAAACAAAAAAGACAGATGTGCAAACACCTGACACAGTATTAGAAACAGATTCTAAAGCTAATTTGTGTTCTGAAGCAAAATTTTTAGATGAATGTGGAAGTGTGAATTTTAATTTGGTTCTTAAGGGGAATGATACTATTAATGACTTTGTACCTGAAATAGAGTCAAAAGAAAATACTATTCAAAAATCTTCTGAAATAGTAAATTTGAAAGAAAAAGCTTGTGATGTGGATTCTGGTGAAGTGTCTCTTGAAAGTGAAGAGCCAACAAATAAGAAATTTAAAGCAGTGGGCCCATGTTTAGGTGATTGTAAGGACATTTCAGAAGAATATCATTTGGACACCAAGGAAGAAAAGCCAGAAACAACCCTCAAAAAAGAACTTACTGTTGTTAATATTGAAGGAAATGCATGTCAAGTGATAGGAGAATCCAATCTAGAGGGAGTAAAAGCTATGGAATTAGATGTAGAAAACAATAAATCTGAAGCTAGTGTTTCTGAAAAAGAGTATGTCGAAACTGATACTTCTAAAGTGGCAACAGAGGAATGTAAGAGTAGTGATGACCCTAACACAGAAACAGCTGACAAAGTAGATGTTGAAGCAGCAGCTGAGGAATTTTATTCAGGTGTTAGTCTTTGTGATAACACCACACTTATAAATGTGAATACTCAGACTCAGATTTCTGAACAAATAGGCAGGGAGGCAGGTGACAGAAGTAATGAGTCAGATTTAGGCACATCTGAAGAAATGAATGCTAAAATGGAAAACTATGAAGAAACGCTGATTGGTCACATGAATAATGAAATTGCCAGTGTCAAAGAATCAGAGGATGAGGACATGACTCCTAAAACTAAGTCAGAAGAAACCAAAACAGAACAGTTGAGTGCAGAACTTGACAGTTTTGTTCTTGACAAACTTGAAATGACTAACAAGGAAGAAAAGGTTGACTCTAATAAAACTGAAACAAATACTGAATTTAGTAAGTCTGAAGAAGCAAATTTAGATGACAATCAAATGGTAGTGGGAAATGACATTTTACTGGAAGTTAATCATACTCCACATAAAGTGGAGGAACCATCACAGTCTTTGACATCTGAAACAACTATCTCTGAGCTAGTAACAGAGGACAATAATTCATCTCCTGAAAAATTACGAGAACTTGATTCTTTATTCATGTCAGCAAGTGATAGTCCTAGTGGCATACAGACACGCTGTGTCTGGTCTCCTTTGGCTTCTCCATCTACCAGCATTTTAAAGAGAGGACTAAAACGACTCCAAGAAGATGAGATCTCATCACCTGTTAACAAGGTAGGAGGAATGTGGCTAAATACTAATTAGTCTAATATTTGCTGAGAATACTGTGTTTGGCATTCCAGTGACACTGGGTAAATGACAAGAGTATTACATGGCCATTTATTTTGTATTTTGTGGTTACTTAGGAAAGGGGACTAAAATCCTTTTGATATTATGTCATTTCACAACACCAAAGATCTTACACAGCTGTGCACATTGTTCTGACAAAATTGTTAAAGATTTCCTCTTAGTATCTTTTGTGCCTTTCATATATAATATGATTAGGAAGTCACATGACACTGATTGCCATTGATAAAACAGGTTTAGCACTTAATGTGTTCTGGGACATAATGCTATCTCACTTAAGGGTTGATGTAAACTTACCTACTTATTTTTTTTTTTTTAAACTTACCTACTTAAAGTTCTTAAGATGTACCTTCATCTATTTTTTTCCTTTTCTCCAGTGCTGGCGATTGAAAACATGTCATAGCACTTACTAGTAAGGAAAACATTGTATTATGGAGCTGTGCTCTTTGTTTAGAATGTTTTTATTTATATTCCCATCTCCTATGCTGAGCTGTACACCTCCATTAGGAAAAAATAGATTCAGTGGGTGTCTGCTGTAGTTTCTGGGCCTGTGCATTCCACATTCTTTGTTGTATGTATATATAAGTACATTACCTTGATATTTCCTTCTTGTGGTCTTGAGGTCCACACAGTTGCGCAGGCAGTACTCAAATTGACAGTAGTCCTGCCTCAGACTTCAAAGTGCTGAGACTATAGGCACAAACCATGCCCCCCACACCCAGCTGTACTTAAATCTCTACTACTATCAAGAATTTTCAGCTTTTCACAACCTCGGATGGTGGTGCATGCCTGTAATTCCAGCACTCCAGAGGCTAAGGCAGTTGGATGGATCATCATGAATTAGAGGCCAACCTGAATTACATTGGGAGACCATGTCTTAAAAAAAAAATTCAACTTTTCAAGATACACTAAGAATTCTTCTGAGAAATCAGGTTTGAGCCATGTAGAAAGGCTTAATTAAAAGTTTGTTTTTTGTTATTTGGGGCTTTTTGTTTGGTGGCCCAAGGGGTTCCAGTGATAATAGTCCATTGAGGCAATGTGTGCCATAGGTTTGCCACCACTGTCCTAGGGTTTGAAAGGCCTGTGCATATTAGGCAAGTGTTTGGCCACTTAGTAACATCTGTAGTTCCTGTTTTTAGGTTGGTTTTCTCTTTAGAGGTTATCACTTTGTTTTTTCTTTAATATCTTACATATAATAGGCCATAGTAGTTTTTGAGTACTTCTATAATAAGATGGATGCATTAGATTTGCTATGTTCAAAATTCTTCAAATTGTTTATAAGTTAATTAGTTACTTTTGTTGGATAGTAACTCGTACTTAATATCTAGGAAATAGGATCACATACTGTATTTTCTGTGGCATTTACGTGTAGAATCTGCCCACTCTTGATGATCAAGACTAGAAGACATAACAGTATAGTAATGGTTTTAAGAGGCCTCCATTCTGTATTTATATCAAATAGCTGAATATGTGAACATACTGTTGGTCATTACTAGGGGCCAAATTAACCACAGGTGGGTCTAAGGTGAAAAATTGCTGCCTAATGATTGTGACACTGAGGTACTCTTAGAGAGTTTAGAACAGAGATGAATAAGATACTCAAGAAGCCAGTTATTTGTTTTTTACCTCTATTTTCTTTATTTACTAAGTCCAGAAGGTTGTTACAGATTGTACAGTTTTAATTGAAATGTGGCAGTTACTTCCATTAAATGTCTGCAGTGGTTCCCATTTCAAAATCTAAATTATACAGAAATAGTTTAGAACATAGATAATTAGAATGCGCCGTTGAAGAATAATATGAAAGCAGTTACTAGATGAGCAGGTATGTACAATGGGCTTTTTAGTGAAAGAAATTCAGCTTCTAACCCTACATTGTACTTTTGGATAACCTCATAATGAAAATATGTGGTGTCATCTTTAAAATTTTATTAAATAAAAACCTGATCTATGTTTTTAGGTTCGTCGTGTCTCATTTGCAGATCCAATATACCAAGCAGGATTGGCAGATGACATTGATAGGCGATGTTCTCTTGTGAGGTCTCATTCTTCAAATAGTTCTCCTGTAATTAAAAGTGTTAAAACTTCACCTACTACACAAACTAAGGTAAGCTCTAGGCTCTAAAATATACACACATAGAATTGTGTGTGCATAAGGTTAGCTATTGAAGAAATAAACCTTCTTTGGTTTAGCCATATTTTTGTGCCTTATGGTATACATGAAGGAGATGGTAAGAAGAAGTGATGATCTAGCAATCAGGCAGTTCATTGTTTTTGTTTTTATAAGTTAAATAATTGCAGTGTAAGTTGTGAAAATCAAATTGTAAAATTAGTTGTCTAGGGTTCTGAGTTTTTTTTTTCTCTTTCTGTCTAGCATAATACCACTTCAGCCAAAGGATTTCTGTCCCCAGGATCACGTAACTGTAAATTTAAGAGCTCAAAGAAGTGTTTAGTAAGAAGTGCTTTAGTTTTCGTGCATCTTTATATTTTTATGTTTAGTCAGGTGACCTCTTATTTAACAGCTTTTGAAATTTATTCTAAGATTACAGAAATGACCAAAGAATCCATGCCATGCCCCACAGAAAGTGTTTACCCAGCTTTGATGAATTGTGCAGCGCCAGTCGACATCATTTTACCTCAGATTACATCCAACATGTGGTAAGTGGTTATTTAGGCTTCTGGGTTCTATTTCAAGATGTTATTTAAAAGAATATTTGAATGATCAAAGTCACGTTTTGAATTGTCATGTACTTTTCCTGCACATATTTTACTTCAGAAATAAAAATGCAGATTGAAAAGTAGGCCGTAAGGGGCAACATTAGAAGCATTTGTCCTAATACAGTAAAAGTTTGCTTAATATTTGCCAGGTGTACTATATTGAAACATCTCATTTAATCCTACTCGACACCCTTTGAGGAATATGAATATCATTTTTCCTTTCTCAAATGAAACTTAATTCACCAAAATCTCACAGCTAATTTAGCTAATCTCATAACTAAATGATCAAACAGTATAGTTACAGTTGTCAGTAAGTTGTCATGTATGTTGAGCATGAAGTTCACTTAGATAAACTTGAGGTTTTTAAATTTTCTGTTTTTTAACTAAAAGTTTGTTTCCATGATGTTTTGCTTGGGGGGGTTTAAGCAATTCTGGATTGCCATATCTTGATTAAAAGAACTGTTTTAGGTATTTTCAGAGATTGTAAGATAATTTCTCTCTTAATTATTAGCCTACCCTATCATGATGTGAACTGTTCAACTTCTCCAGTAAATTATATGTGTCAGACATATATTGTGTCCATTTCTGATGCATAGAAATGGAAGGCATGGTACATTAAAGGATCTAGATTAGGAGACTTAGTAAAACAGTGACAGGCCCCATTCACAGATAAACCTGAACATTGTAACAACCCATTTGTATATAATACCATATTTGTTTTTTTTTTTTTT